TTGGGTCATTCAGGTTGTGTCTTTCTTTTACACAACAAATAATAATAATTTATAGATATAACATTATAGTGGTGTAGACTTAAGACGATGACCGCCGCGTTTTTGTGTGATAAGTATATTCCCCGTGTTAATTTTCATCAGTGTCCGGGGTCTTATGTATAGTAGAGTACTTTTGGAATACGAATATCCCAAAATTCCATTATGACGTTTGGAATAATGGTTTCGTTAATGAATTAGTTCAATCATTTTTTTTTATTATATCAAATATGTAATGTAATTTTAATTGCGCTGAAATAAATGAGTAAATAATAAATTAATTTAAATATATTATCCTTTAGAGTTGTGTATGTATACTTAGGTGTATGAATGGAGTGTTGAGGGAAGATAGAAAAATAAACGAATACATAATAGGTAGCATAGTCGTCGTTTTGTAGCGGACAGCATGGTAGTGAATAGACTGAGATAGCTTAGACATGTTTTGAGCAGTAAGACTGGTAATGACTTTATAAACGTTAGTAGAGAGAAGGGGAAAGGAAGACCGAAAAAAATGTGATTGGATGTAATTGGGAATGATATGAGAAGTTCTGGTATGTTCAAGGCAACAGTAGCCAACCCCAATTAGTAGGGATAAGACGAAGGAAAAGAAAAAGATCCTTTAGTACATACAATTTATTAAAAAAAAAGTAAGTAGCGTAGTTTTAACATGTGTCCAAACAGAAAAAATAAAAAAATTAAAGCACCATTGTAAAAAAATACCTTTTAGGCATCGATATTGACAACTAAAGCCATAAAAGGAACGGAAATATGTTTAAATATGTGATCTGCGAGGTCATTCGAGCCAATTCAATAAAGTACAGTATAAACAAAGTAAAATACATAGTTTTAATAGCACGTAGTGACCCTTTTATTATTAACTTTATGAACTTTATGTGCGTCGGCCGATCAAAGTAAACTGAAAATGTTTATAATGAACAAATTCCATTAATTAATGTCGTTCTAAATCCGAAATTAGAGACGGGCTATTCAAAGTCTTTATCCAATAGAGGGGGGCTGAAGAAGTATTATTATTAAGGAAACGGAGGTTGGGAGGTTGTCATTCGTGTTTCATTTATGATCTATACGACGAGAAGAATATAAATGACAATGCCCGACGTCGAAGCCGCAAACACGTTTGATCTTCTTCTTCTCCTTCACTGCCCCTCGTCTTGGCTGTCTGTAAGTGTACCGCTTGTGCTTCCCAGTAGTGACTATTATAATTAGCATAAATGTAAAATTTAAGTGCATTCTGTTATGCCAACGGCGAGCATCTAACAGGTAAAGGCCACTTATTGAATAAGCTGTTTGAATAATACATAACAAAGAATGATTTCCGGTATATTCGGAAGCACCTACGATTTTTACGTTTGTTCCCATCCGTTCTGGCAACGATCCTTTTGGGACATATAATAAACCCTCATACAATACTTTGACTGACCCGCTATTTAATAATGGAAAGCACGTGTAGTGTATAAAAGGTTAGCTTAACTTGTCAAAGTGTCAAACTATAGCTATTACACGAGCCCGTCAATTTGTTTATTTGAAAAACTCAAACTATGGTAGCAGTAAGAATTTATTTATATTTTTCTTAAACAACATGTAAATTCATATAACATTGCTAACATTGCTGATAAGTTATCGCTATCGTTAAATAATTAAAAGTCTATGACGATTCTGGAAATTAAATAGCTAAAAAAGACAGTTCTATGTACAATGTATAGAATATCCGTCCTCTTAACCCTACTCTAAAACCCTGTTTGGCTGGCTCTACAGATGTTAGAATTTTGTCAGAAAGTTATAAACATATCGAATCAGAAAAAATAGATAATAGAATCTCGACAAACAGAATGATTCTCAAATCAAGAAATTTTGAGTCATAATATTACAAAATAAAGACCAGGTATTAAAAAATCGAAAAAAATCTGAGTACTGTAGCAATATGAAATGTGAGTGAAATAATAAATAAAATAAAAAGACCATTTTTATCGGCTAAATCATTGGAATAGGCTATTTTTATTAGCTTTCAGTTACGAAAATTAGATTGGTGCCTAAACGTTTAAATTAAGTGATTATAGTAATATGAGGTAGCAAGACGATTACTTTTTTTCATTTTTAAAAAAAACACCGTGGCAAGAAATAACAGGTGAAGTAATCGAACGAGTTTCAAAGGCAAGACGGAAAAGTTTTGATTAATAAAGAGTGTATTGATCGAAGGTAAAATACAAGACTATGTCGATTACAATGAGACAGGAACCAGGTGTGGATGATTTGACGCATATAATAAAGCTTCGGGAAAAAAGTTTAGCAGAAAAATGATGAAACGTACAAAGGAAGACTTGATAAAAAAAATAAAAAATAAGCTGGCAGAGAAACGATTGAAAACGGTGCCATCTATAGAAATGGAATATATAAAAAAGAAATCCGATTTTTCTGAAAATTGTAGATTATCAGATTATATTATATTTTGTACAAAAAATACTCTTGTGAGAAAATCTAGAAAACCTTACAAGGCACGTCTAAAAGTAGTCGTCAATAAGTGTTTATTTATAGAAAGGCTATAATTCCATCTCTTTCTGGTATTGTTTGCTTTTTTTTTTTGTACAGTATTGTGTTATACTATTGTGCACAGTGACTCGAGTTGAAATATCCAAAAAGAACCCGGAAAAGGTCCGAAAGCGTGCGTTTTCAAAAGCTCTTTTACCACTGGACGCAGCGCCGACGATTAGTGCAAATAAGGGGTGAAATTTGTGTATAACGTGTTGAGGGCAAAGGGGCGGCTGGAGGCGAGGCAGGGAATGATCGAGAAGGGAAACTGTTTGCTTGTGTGTAATTCTATAGCTGGCAAAAGAACTATATAACACAACAACAGAACTGCGACCGTAGCAATGGCGACCCCTAGGGCCGAGTCGGATAATTAAATACCGTTTTAGCGCATCTGATCGTGAATTTTGCTCGTTAAAATCTTCAACCTACCCTCGTGTGTGCTGTAGTCCTTGCGAGTAAATAATAATCTACCGCGTTTAGTGTTTATCCCCGTAGAGATAAAACGTAATCGCAGCCCGCACGCGAATTCGTGAAAAATATATAATAACTGATACATTGAACGTGCCCGTCGTATGAGCTCAGCCAAAGGAAGTTTGAAAAGAAAATGTATATGTATATAATATGTGTATATCTGCACTGGATAAGTATTTCATCTCTCGCGGGCTTTGGCGGTATTTGTTTTTCATGTTTTCATTCACTTTACTCGCACAGATGTGTCGAGTCTTGAGCATATATAATGTATAAATAATGAAATATTCATATCTCGTCACCTGAGGAAAAAACGATTCTATATCGGATGATCTATTTAACGTTTGAGTTAAAAAGCTCAATTTCTTGGAAAATAATTACAATTTTGTAGTTTTTTTTTTTTAAAGGCCTTTTTTATTTTTGTCATTACAATATTATAGAATTGCCAAATTGTCAACTTTATTTCCAGATTTCTATCAACATTTAAAGTATTTATGGGAATGTATGTATTTAACTAACTTTTTAGAAAACCAAATATTTGCATACAATTTTTACTGGTCGATAACTAGTTTTTATTATCATTACTTTAAGAATTTACTCAGAGTAATTAAACTCTAATAACTTCAAATGTAGTTCAAAGTGTCTTACATTATGATAATAAATAAGGGTGAATTGTTACAATAATTACACCAAAGTCCCAGAGTAAAACCCCAACTGTTATTACAAATTTGGGGATTATTGGCTCAAGTATTTGGAACGTATAATTATGAATTATTAGTTGCAAATAACCAATTTGTATTCTAATTGAAAATAATAGGAATTATTACAAAAATAGATTTCTCAAACGTTTGGGATTTATTAGGGGAGAATATGAGAAATACATTTTTACTTCTTATTTAGGTCCCAATAAAATAAAATCCAACAAATATTTTGATTGAAATCACTGATTTAAATTTTGTTGTAGTGTGTGGCTTATAAAGCAACTCTGATTGATGCTTCGACAGCTTTGCGGCACGTGTTGTCGTCGTTCAAATTTGGTAAAACCTTATTTTTAAAGGTAACAAAAAGTTTAAATAAGTGTGTTCAATATATGAGCATTTTACCAACATATCAAGTTTTCTAAAAAATATTGCCCATAATGTAATATTCCTTTTTAAAGAGGTGGTGTGCAGTTCTCAGAAATAGGGACACGTGTAAGTGAATCAATGGTGTGGTAGACTACCCGTCGACAATTGAACGAGAGTAAAATCAAATACGACCTGTCGTTTAAAAAAAAATGCTATATTTTTTAGGAAAATACACTACAAGAACCCTTTGAGTATTGTCAAACGGACATGTAAATGGAATTTAACCTTATTAAGACGAGTTTGTTGCCTATACTATATACTGTAAACACGTTTTGTGTTATATATATGTACGTATCACACACATATAGTATACAATATAATTTGCAGCTTTATAGAAAGTTAATAGATCAAATGACGTTTGTCGAAGGTACTTTGCGATGTGAAAATATTATGACTTATCATTGTTATTGTTTTTTATGATTCATGTTATTACTTTAAAGCCTATATATAATTTATACTAAATAATTTATATGCTGTGTCACAAAAGCAACCTAAAAGCCTGGGAATCCGCTGGATATTTTAAAATAAATAGTCATTTATCTCTACATTCAAATAAACGACCCAATTTTGTCAGTGTGGTTGTTTGGAAAGTGAGAGAGAGAGAGAGCAAAGCAACTCGCAGTTAACTTCCAATAACTAGGTGTGATGGATTAAAGTTTCTAGAATTCTCATAAATTCTACAACAGTTATTTCCGTGTTCCTATCGACAGTAAACAGTGCCATTTAACTTTGGTTAAGAAAGAATGAGAAATTTGAAGAAAATGTGTTCATTGACTTAGTGGTCCGTTATGACTAATTGAGTATACGTTTGTTGTTTTATTTTAGGACTGGTCAAGCTGGGAATCCACTGCGTGAACGGCAAAGAAGTGGCCATAAAAATAATCAACAGAGAAAAACTCAGCGAATCGGTTCTGCAAAAGGTAAGCGTCGTTAGTTTAGTTTTGTTAATAAAAAGAAAGTCACCCATACCAGAGCATTATCGCATTCCCAAGTTAAGTAGGACTTAGTTTAGAATGGCTGAACTAAAAAAGTTTTCTAGTTCCGTCGGTGCTCATTGAATCGACCGAGTTTAGTCGATTTTTTAACATGGACTTTCTCTCTTCAGATAGATTTTTTTTTCGTTTATTGTTTTATTCGACAACAAAATATCCTTTTTATCGATCAGTTGTTGTATATACAACGATGTGAAGATTTAATCATACCAGATAAAACTTAATTGTACTGCTACTTTTTCATACTTCAATCTAATTTTATACTTCTATGGATAACTTCTTGACTGGTTTTTTGTTTATTGAACACAATAATATTTGCATGTATTTTGTATAATAAGTAAATTCGATAATTTTATACAATATCGAACTTCAGTCTTCACACGTTATACTATCTTTTTATAACTTTCTTTACTCTTCTTAAAAAATACACATAACATTATATTCTATAGTAGACCGTTTGAGGTGGCGATTTTTCAATATCTAGTTAGGCCGTCACTTCAAACTGTTATGCTAAAGCTGTGGTGACGCATCCAAAATTCAAAAATATATTCTTTACAGTATTATATCCAACCATTTAATATTATTTTCTTTGTGTTCCTTAAATTAACTGTGTAATCATTTTGAACGACCTCACTACCAGGTTACATTAGGGTTTCACTCCCCCCTCACCCAAGCTATTATCTATTTTGTATGATGAACACAAAAGGGTAGTGTCGATACACAGATGGTGTTCAAGATAAATACACTTGTGTCGTTATAGTGTTTATTCGAAGGTTTGTGGTCAATAAAAACAAGGCATCGAGACTACAATAGTAATAACAAAAGAAAATGGCTCGTGAATGATTAAACGTCGAGCTAAATGGACAATAAGTGTGTATGTGGGTCATAAAAGGGTTTTAGTTTTTAAAAGCTCGTGTCAAGTGACCTAGACAATCTAGGACGACTGTAGCTCGTTCAGCGTTATTTCCGTACAATATAAAAGGTGAAGTAAAAATATTACATTGCACATTGTGTTAATTTTGTTCACCAAATGCAAGCATGCCAAACGTGCATTTGCGAGAAGACTATAAGCCGACCACAAGTGTGAAGCAGAAAATATAGCAAACGGAAGGAAAATAATAACCACGCATATTGGACGACGAGTAAAATCGCCTTAATTAGTTTGTGTGTCTCATTCGACTACTAGGAAATGTAGCATCTTATCAAAACCGTCTTTGTTATGATGAATTTAATTACTCGAGTTTATATATACTTTGTAGTTATGTGCGATGCAGCGTATACGTTTTAATGAGTTTGTTTGTTATAGTTTCGGTGGTCTAAATAAACCGTCGAACAAAACCCAAATACGACAGAGCGACAGATTTTGCAATGAACGTCCCAACAACTTATCAAACTTAACGACTAACGTATGCGAAATATATGTAATCGGTTTAATAGATAAAGTTTTCGCGTCCCGTGATTATTTAATGGCTTTGAAAATTGTTGGAGTGTGCGACACAAACGTTTGACGAGATTATACCGACAAGTGAAGAAAATTTCGGTTCAAAGCTTGCATTTTAAGATTCCGGGAAATAAGTCTTAGCATTGCATAATCACTGTGACGTAGGTCTCGGTTTCCTACTAGGTCATGCGTGTGTAAGTTTTAAGGTCTACGTTTTGCACTTGCAGTGCAGGCGAGAAGTTTCCGATAGAAGATCCGCTGGGATTTGCGGGTGACATGCTCGACAAAGAAGTGTTAGTAGCAATTATTTCGGTATACAACTATGGCACGCCATAAACGAGGTACGTTCTCATCAAACAGAGCGGATGAGCTTATATAGGTGTATGTAGTGTTCGAAAATTCTGCATTTGAACGCAATCTGGGTCAGAGCAAATTTCGAGGAATTTCATGCAAGCCAACCATGCCAACATAATATATAACGTGTACTTTTTTTAAATGTTCGGCGTCACCAATTTAAAATGCTAGCTACGTTTTTTTTTGTTGGAAACTACAAAACGTATGAATTGTCACTTGTTTAATGTCACCGAGACACTATAAGAAACAAATTAACAATTCAATTTCTTTAGTCGTAAAAGACACCCGGTCGTTAGGACCGAGCAAACCACCTGGCGCTGAAAAGTTTTGGCTAAACGAAGTTGTACTTACTGTTTATGTACTGTTAATTACCCGTAAGGCTCGGGTTCACTGTAATAAACAGAACGATTCTGTATAAAAATGTCCATTACCGTTTTATTTTTCGTACTTATCTTATTGATAATGATCGTTCTCCGAAGATTTTTTGAATTCATAAATCATTGTCACCTAATTTCATTTGTATTGTTTTATTGTATAATTAAGACAGCAATAAAAAATTACACGGACAACATTTAAATTGAAAAATAAACTGTTCAACATAATACCAGCAATACTTCTGGTACACTAAATAGGTTGTGAGTTTGTAGAACGGATATTATGAGATGCTACATTTAGACTACATTTCTAATAAGGTTTAAAATATGCTAATGCCTGCATTCAATCTTCTGCCGCCGTAAAACAATAATAGTTATAATAATAATAGTTATACAATAATGTTGCAGAAAAGAGACGAACACTAATAATCATCAAGCGAGAAGTACTCCAATAGGGATTTAAGAAAATATAAATCAAACTGAACTACAATGAAATGAAAAAAAAGTGCCAGAGGTCAAATTTGACTGATCAAAATAGTTTTTTTCAAAACAAAACTCGAGGTTTGAACATTTTGGACGACAGTATAATTGTCATTGAATTCATTAAATAAAAACATAATGGCATCGTAATATGCTTTATTAGTATGCAAATTGTTTAAACGAGAACGCATCACTTCATTTTCATGAAAAGCCTCCGTCAATCCCTCTAAGAACAGTTGGTTTTCGGAATTCTGTACACAAGTTAATAGCGTAATTCATTATTGAAGAGTATACATGCGACTGCATAACAATTGAACATAATATATTTAATTTTTTTTATATTATATTCTATGAACATCATACTGATTCGCTTTATAAATAGTCCTTTACTTTACATATTTTATTCATTTTATAACATCTAGTATGCAAATTTCAATGTGCTTCATGTAATTTAATTTGTATCAGTCAAAACGACTGTGAAAACTCATGGCTCACAGCCACCTTTTTTTTTATTTGAATAATACATTTTTCCGGAGAATGCTTTTTTTATAGTTAAGCTTATTTTGTTGCTACCACATAGAAAGAAGGTTTTTTTTGTAATGCGATACATATATATATGTTTCTGGTTTTCTGCTGAATTTCATTTTATATTAAATTCCATGTTTTGAATTTTCCCCATAAAACCCTTTCAGCCAAGGAACTAAGCTTGGATTCTAGAAATATTCATATCCCTCCTCTTGTGCTTGGGATTCTTATCGTTATTACACGATTAAAAAATTCAAAATCCTATGAGGTTACAAATCAGAATATTAGATTGACATGAAACCTCTCTTGACGGTATCTGTACTATTTGCTGGCGTATTGTGTAGGCAATCTCGGTACATCCGCGTCCATCGAGATTCATGTTGAGAAAACTAACAGGTACGGCGTGCCAAACAAAAACAAATATTCTCCAATAGATAAATGTAATTTAAATAATCCTAACCGTCGACCAGGTATGGCAGTAGCAGTCAAAATCAGATATATTCTTCTTTTTCTTCATCGAAATCCCATAAAAATTGAGTCCACTAAATTATTCCACTAATATTCTTTTTGAATTTTTTTAATTTACTCCACACATACACACATTTATTTTTCTTATTTATAATTTCCATCCAAATCTATTCATCTCACAACCTAACCTCTTATTCTCTCTCCTTAATGTCTCTTACCCGTTTTAACATTATTTTTCTCACTTTTTTCTACATGTCCACGCCACTTGTTCTGTAACTATTTTAAAATTATATTTTACTTCTGTCTTCACTAGTGCTTCACGATACTCTAATTTTAATTACTTCTATTTTCTTCTCACTTCTCGTACGGTATGTCAACACTTACTTAAATTTTTATCTCCACCCGTTGACCATTCTACCTCTCCAAATGATACTTACTGTCCCGCAAAATTAAATCTGTTCTAATCTGTTCAATACAGGTTTTCAATCTCACGGACAGTTGCATACCATTTTTTACAGAACTATTGTGTTATTTTGTAGTGAGGTTTCTGACGTCAATCGTTCCAGAAAGCTTTTTGGCTATCTACATTTCCGAAACTTCCACCGTTAAGAAGCATATAGAGAAATTTATAATATTTTTATCAGTCTGTTTTTTGTGTAACTAATATAGAATTATATTAAGAAGTACATCTAATAACATTTAAATAATACCCGTCAAGTATTTAGTATAATCAATTCGACACCACTATGATATGTACATTTCTAGATTTTTCAATAGTTTTACAAGGTTATTTACAAAAAGCGAGCATAGACCACTCCATCCGAGGACGAGGAAGTTTCTGTACAATTTATCCCTATACTGAATTTCTGCCTTTTATGTAACCTTAGCTGTTGTTTTGTGTACAACTTGCATACAATTAGTTTGTAGTTATATTTCATAGTATTTGTTATGTTTGCCAGTGCCACTTACAACGCAGCTGTTCAGGTATGTTTACAGTTTACACATAAAACGTATCTGGGGTGATGTACATTATTTCCGGGAATCCGAGTAACTTAGGAGCACTTTAATTACCTTTATCGTTATGTATACTATTTCTAAAGTCTGTTCTGAAAAACCCGCTATCATGTGTCATAGTTTAAGTTGTAATATACTTATCAACGGGATATGTTTTTACAATTTATGTTTGTTAAATAGTTGTTTATAGTTGTTAAATGTTTTTAACATTTGTTATAACATTAATAATTAATAATTAACATACACTAATTAACATGCATTTTATTAAAAATCGTTATTTGCATATTTTCATGGTCACTTTTTTTATTAAAGTAACACCAGTAGTGTTTTAAAATAAAACTTTCTAGGAGATTTTTAAATTTTTCTTGTTATTTATTATTTCTTAGACATTTAATAAGTTGCCTGTTGCTCACAATAAAGAAAAATGTCTATAAAATGAGTATCATGTGTTCACGTGGACATAATATAACCAATTTCAATAATTTTTTTTTTTTTTTAAGTAATGGTAACTGCGAAAAATATGGTGGTACAGATTAAACTTGAATTGAATGTTCGATTATGCATTTTTAATTGGGTTGGTTGTTCTTTTTCTAAATTTTCTAAAGCATAAAGCGTTGTGTTTATTCGGACTTAAATAAAAACATATCCAGTAGGTAATTTTTCCAAGCATATTGTGATTCTACAGAAAGACAATTTCGTTAGTTTATTACAAAAAAAAAATGTTTTTACATTACATGTTAGTAGTATTGATGAAACTATTAACATTAGTTGTTTTTAGGGCGTGTAAAGTTTTAAAACATTTTGAAGAACCAACAAAGGGCATACAGGCTGTTTCTGCAAAACTTCAGCAGTATTTCATTGTAAAAGGGTAAAATCATAATGCGAGCTAAACGGTGGACGATGTTGGTGTAATTTTATTTTTATCAAAGACCCTAAAGTTTTGCTACTCAAACGACTAGTATTTCCTTTTGTCCTAACCAATGAATCATTGACGGGTCGACAGACTTTAAATACTCTCAATCTACCGTAACCTGCAGCTCCCCTCCAAATCACATTAAAAGGAAAATGTATCTTTAATAATATTAAATATACTTTAGATATGTTTAACTTAAAATATTGAGCTACTTTCGAATTTTGTTTGTGATCAAATATATGTATAATATATACAATACTATATATTATCAATTATATCACAAACGATATATATGCATTTTATTTTAATATATTAACATTTTACTGTTTCAACAATATTATTACATAATATAAAGATAAATGAATCAAATTTTTTTTTAAATAATACTTATAGAAGTGTTAGATGTATAAATAATTTGTTGATTCTAAAATTTAACAACAACAATTTTTCTTTATAATTATGTTGCAATTTTTGTATAATAATAACCATGATAAATGATGATTTTATGAAATTAACTGAATATTTCTTAAATATATTGTGGTTTTTCGTTGAGTGTGATTTTAATTTAGAGCTAAGGATGAGTTTATAGCCCAGCTATAAATTGTATATTTATTGTTTTAAATTATTATGTTTTATATTTTTCTGAGTTTGAGATCCATAAAATAAAACCAAAAATATCCTCTCTAGGCTGGGTAAATTAAATCGACAACACTTTTATAAGTTAAAAAATTAAGCACTTTTCCTATCAGAATCTAAGATAAACATAAAAGGAACTCAATTTCCTAGGTATTGAAACTAATAACGTAGGCAAGAGCTCTTTTGGTCTCATTCGTACAATTCGGTTCAAGTAAGAAATAATATTTTCTGTTCTTGATTTTCTGTGTTATTTGGGTGTTCGATAAATCAAACCGCTTTACGATTTGAAAAGGAAATACTTGGTAGTATGGCACTGTAATTATAGGACAGACATGTATATTATAGAACTGTAAATAAACGTAGGTTACACAGCATTAAACCTATTTTTGAGCAGTTAGACAGTAAATAATAATCATAATAATATAGTTTTGAACGTGTACTTATTTAAGGAAAGATATCAGATTTGGTACCGCTTTAGGTATATTTTGTTGTGTTTGCGTGACGGGGCCAAACAAACAAAAAAAAAACAGTACAGGGGTCAGGCGAGACTGTAAGTGGAAACCACAGGGCAACTAATATTTACTTTTTATTTATTGCTATAGAAATTAGTCCTATGTTAGGATATTTTAGTGAATTTTTTTTTAAAAATCCTACGGGTTTGTTTATATTGTGTCTAGTTTTAGACATTCTGCCTATTGCAAAGTTATTTTAAACGATGATTTAATAATTGATGGTCATCGACTATTTTATTTTACTTTAATATTAATGCGTAAGTGCTACTAAACCCAATTTATACATTTTTTCTATAAGTGAAGAGTATGAAAAACTACATCATACACTTTTAGTCTGTTACACACGAGAAATATAGGATTTTGGTTTTTTTTTTTTTTGTATAGGTATTGTTAAAAGTCTACCAGTGTTACATTTTTAGTCGATCGGTAAGCAATGTGTTAGTAAATAAGAGTTCTGTTTTCAAAATAATAAAAAGTGTGTTATTACCAAGTGTAAAGTAATCTTCAGAAGAAAAAAAACGTTTCGTTGTGAGGTTATATAGGCCTGATATAAGGGCTCTATTCGGACCTTATACGTGTTGACTAATTCCGCTATTTTTAAAAAAGTTTTATTGTGCCGTTATATGAAGTTGAAAAATATGTACATTTTTTGGTAAAGAGTGAAAGGTTGAACTTTTTTAATTTGTGGCCAATAACTACAACTTACTATAAATAATAATAACACTTGTTGTATTATTAGTGAAACGAATATTGATCATGTGATTATTATCATGATTGTTATCATTATTCTTCTTCTTATTATTAATATTAGTTCATAGCAGTATTACGTTCTTTTTGTTCGTTCGGTCGTGAAGGTAATTTTTTCTGAATTCAAAACTACTGTCGCTGCCATATCGACCAATATAATAATTAGACTTTGGCTGTGTCGAGGGTTAGTCCTAAATACATACTGCGTACGTACCGCTGTAATAAATGTTCTTCGAGGCGACACGTTTAATTAATGCCGATGGTATTGACACATGGTGGACATGCCTGTAATTCATACAGGATATAATATGATAAATGTGTTTTGGCTGTGGCTATGACGAGACCCGACCAATAAGAGCTGTTGCTAATATATGGCATTAAAACGGGTGTGATACGATAAGCCTGGCTCGAACGTCAAAGAGTATTTTTTATTTCATAAATATTTGTTTGTGTACAATTAGATAAAAAAAATGATTTTGTTTTTCAAATTTGTTCGGGCTCAGCTCAACTTCTGTCTTTTTAATAAGCCAAAAAAAATATTTACTATCTGAACCGAAAGGCGGTTTTCTTAGAATATCTTTATTAACGAAAACTATGATAGTCTGATAAAAATAAATCACTACAACTAAGGTAGATAGGTATTATCAATATTATTTGGTAACTCAAAATAAATAAACATATTTTAAAACGATTTAAAAATACTCGACATTATTATTAAACATAATTTCATGTTATGTACCATTATTGTAACATATCAAACTTTAAAAATGTCATAATTTGAATGACTTAACAATAGTATAATTTTTTTATGTACATAGTATTGTTTTAGTTGACTGGAATTAAAAAAAAATAATATTAAATCTTTTAATTTATTTTCTTGCTGCTTTTTCAGGTGGAAAGAGAAATTGCAATTATGAAACTAATCGATCATCCACACGTTTTGGGACTGTCTGACGTATATGAAAACAAACGTTACTTGTAAGTATTATATTTGACTTGAGTTGAAAATAAAGAAATATTTCAAAAGGAAATTCTAGGAACAGTTTAGTGGCAATCTTAAGTCTAAACATCATTTCATATTTTTGGGGGTAAATGGTTGAAATTTATGATTTTTATTTTATTTTGAAAGCTATAGCTTTTCTTATTAGTTGTGTGATCTACACTAGTAACCAACATATTTAAAACGCAAAAAAAAAAATAAGTATCATATATTTGGTAAATAAATAACAAATTGTATCGAAAAATTAAACTGATTTATTACATTGGTTTAAGGTAAAGTAGTATATTTGTTTAAAACAAATTTTCATAAAAATAATAGATGTAACTTTGCAATAAACGTTAACAGCTTTAGTTATACGTATTTTACTAGACAATATAAATGATTAGCTATGCGTTAGACATCAAATATGTGCTTTGGTGGGTTTATTTGTAAGAAAAAATAAAATAATCAAATTGAAAAAAATAATATTACACGTTTTTCAAATTATCCCTAAAAATACTGTTAACACAAATAATTGAAAATAAATTGCTCAGAATATTGTATTACTTAAAAAATACAAACTTTTCATTCGAAAATGACATGTCTGTGCGTATGATATTGTTAAACGTCATTTGCAATGTTTGTTGAAGAGGTAAAGGAGATTGAGTTATTATAGCAACCAATAAATATGTTTGATAGCTATAGAATTAGTAAAATTTAATTTAACAGATGGGAGGAGTTGACAAAATTGCTATCAGAAATAACCCCTTAACACTGTCAGAATCATAGACCATTACGATATTTTATGTTAGAGGTCTTTTGTGGATAGTGAAATATCAAACACTTGATTTTATCATGTTTACAATGGTAGATTATTATTTGACGAGGGTTTAAACATAAATTCATCATTATGCATTCCTATCACTGATCCTTTATAAATACAAAAATAGATTATACATTAGGCAGCACTGATAAGATTTTAATAAAAAATAAAATATTATTATATATATGTATAAAATTAATATAAATTCTGGCCACGTGAATTTAGGCAAAATTCCCTGTTATACCCATAATTTATTTTTAAAAAACAATATATTTTCTTAACCCGTAATGAACAATCGAATGAAATAAAAATTGTATAATTGCATTGACCAAACATGGAAAAATAGTAAAAACAATAGGTAATATTATAATTTAATAAACAAATAAATTCTCCTTTTACCAAAGGCAGACATTTAATATACCGCGGCTTACACAGTGTGGTAAAGAAAACAATACAGAGACGTTTAGTCGCGTGCACCCGAGACCGAACATAATATTGTTGTTTGCTTTGATTGAGTTTGTTTTTCAAAAATCGTTTACACTTGTCAGTTTTCGCTTTGTATTCATTTTATTCGATGTACACACCTACGGCAAAACGAATACCGGGATTGTCTCGTACAAACAAACTATAAATTGCTAAAGACATCAGGACAACAAATACAAGCGAGAAAACCCTATCTTCCTAGAACCAAAGTAATAATAATAATATATTACAACAGCTATAACGCTTACATCGGTCGAGCATAACAATAATGCGACGGCTCAGGTCAGGTCCGTTTAAAATCGAACAGTCTAAACTTATTTATGAGCTTATATATTGTATAGACATACACATATAAGCCAAAGTTGTTATGCCGACCCAAAACTAACATCGACTGAACCTAGTCCAAAGTTTCTATTGATTTACCAGGAATTCGCTTGTGGCCAAATCAATTTACGAGAGGCGGTCACGTGAGAAACCCGGACGATGGCATTATTACCTAACCCAACTGACTTATAACTTGCCTACTTGCCTTTAATATTATACTAACTATTACTTAATATAATATTAAGTTTGAAAATTAAACGTTTATAACTGCAACAGTTTTTACGACCAATTCCTTTAAAAGTTTTACAGTCAAATCCTAATATAATATACATGTCCACGCATAAGTGTATCAAAAGTCTGTTAAAATAAAAATAAATTACTTTTTTAGAAACGGTATAAACTATATACTATATGACTTAATATGATTATCAAATGTATGCATTTATTTTTTAAAGTATTTATAAATAGTAATATATACTAGGTTATAGGGTTTTATCGGTTTTATATTTGCTTCTTATTAAAAGGTAAAAAAAACACCAAAAAAACAAATTTTCAAAAATACATTTTTATTAATTATAATGTACATCATAGCCAACAAATCTGTGTAAATAATACCCATAAATATCATTCATATGTAGATTTCAAATGTCATATAGAAATCGAAATCACTAGGTCGGAAGTCAAATGTGTATTAGGTGTATTAGGAAAACAGACTTAAATTTCCATTATTTATTTATTTCTTAGATTATTTCACGTTTCTTATTTGTAGGCAATGGTTCATATTATTTAAATTGCATTGCGGTATTTACTTAGTTCCCATATTATATCACATATCTTTCCGCCATAACCGTATCTCTGGAAATAAATATATGATTTTTTTTTCAACAAACTAATGAATATTGTTTAATAATTTTATATCATAGTAGTATTTTGAGGCACAATATATAAATTAAAAAATAGTGAAATGTATTTTAAATAATTATATCTATACTTAATACTGTCCGTCCATCCCTGTTTTTTGAGAACTCAGTTTACTCATAAGTAATTGGTAATAAGACGGTTAATACAAATTTAAGGAGGGAACAATGTAGAATAGAGAAGAAGTGTATGTGTGATAAAAAAATATATACTACTTTAATTTGAAATTAATATTTGCAGGTACTTAATATTGGAGCACGTGTCTGGTGGAGAACTGTTCGACTATTTAGTAAAGAAAGGTCGACTCACGCCCAAAGAAGCCAGACGGTTTTTCCGGCAAATCATTTCAGCCTTGGACTTTTGTCATAGTCACTTGATTTGGTAAGCTACATTTTTATTTGAGGACATATTATGAGCGACTTTTATAATACGACACGACTTGTTTTGAATATTTGTTATTGCCAAAACCCAAGTAAATCCTGGTAACCCTAGTACGGTATCCTAAGCCAAAGTCCTTTATTATGCTTGTAGAAGATAATCAATAACATGTTCAGAGAACAGAGCCACTCTTCTGTGGAAAGATCTCCCTCGAGACAATACATTAAATAAACATACTCTCTTATCAACATGCTTAAGATACTTGAAACGAAAATGTTTCATCAAATTCGCCACGCATTGTGACCCATGGGTATTCGTCATTAGTCATAATAATACAAGGAAGCTTGTTTTTGTATTTACTTGTCATATTTTATTGATACTTCAAATACTTAATTTGATTATCTACTAACCCTTTTCCCACTTAATGCAAAGGGGTTACGCTCTAAGCAAAACAAATGCACTAAATTAATTCTCAAGTGTTGGACATTCACCAATAGTTTACGGACAATATGATTATTAATTTTAAAGATACAGGCTTTTATTCTTGAACTTTATTGAGTATGCCATGGTGCTTTGTAGTAAAAATGCTTTTAATAGATTACATTTTCTTATTTTCGTGCATTGATTTCCGTTTTGACAAAAATTAGCCAAACAACTAAACGTGTAAACAAAATTTCTATTATGCAATACAATTACTCTATAAGGACGAAAAAAATATTCAAATAACTTTAAAGCTTATTTACAAAAAAAAAAATAGAAACTGCTTTATTGACCCGAATCGCAGAATTGTTTTTTTATTGTGCTTAAATGCGTTTATAATAGCTGCTTTATGGCCAATTTATTCATTAAATTCCTTAAAGGTAGTTTAATTGGCTATTTTGCAGAAAAACATTTAAAAAGTTTACTTCCACTACAAAAAAAAGAAACCTTTAAAAAAAATAAGTTTTCTCAATTTGGTAATGTTGGATATTTATAATTGGTTCATTAAAAAGTGAAGAGCAAAATCTGAACACTAATGAAATATTTTCCTTTTTCCAACTTAAGTTGAAATCTACACAGATAGAAAAAATTAATATTTCTAAATTTTCTTTTTGCTTAAAATATTTGTTATTGCTTACACTTAAAGTAAAGATGTCATAAGATCTGATTTGATCAAAAAGTAGTTAAATTTCGTTAAGTATCATTAAATAATTTTTCGAATTTGTTATTAATATGATTGACTTTCTGGTAATAAATTAAAGATCAAACTAGTTTGTTTCACTAAATAAAATGGTTAAGAGATTACTCTTGAATTTCAAAGTATTATACCTCATACGATTTGTGATTGTCAAATGGACAATAGCATCATCGCGTTTGTTCTAGGCTTTGGGCTTATAATACCATCTTTAACAGTCCAATTTTAGTTTCCAGAACATTCTACATGTTACAGCCTCATTCTAGATCTACTCTCAGTCTAATTTTCTGATCTAAAGACTCGCTACATAAAACAAATAGGTTCATCGGTTCAGGAGATATCGTGGGTCCAAAAACATAAAAATATAAAAACATATTATTGCAAAAACAACACATTCCAGCTTCGCGTTTAAACTAAATCTTAAGATAAACGTTTTTCCGTAAACATTTTACTTAGATGACTTGAAGCTGTACCTGAATGTTAAACGTATATAATATAACAACTTAAATTGAGCTAACCTACGAATTTTTTTATCGCGGTGTCGACTAATTTTGTTTTGAACTTTCTTTTGATTTGATTTTAAAATTATGTAAAAATATTATATTTTGATTAAACACTTTTTTGTTTACCATACCCGATCCCAAAACCAAAATTATGTTTTTTTCTCATTTTCCTCTTCTTCTTCGAATCGTTCGATAGCTTGTATTCTCATTTTATTTTGTGAGTGATTCGCAATAATCACTGAATTTAGTTTATCAGAGCGCCCCAATTACAAACGATTTAGCAAATAGTTTTACATTTACTGCACATATGGATCGGTCACGTTTCATCCACCATTAGAACGATACCCTTGTATAGTATTAGTAGTACGTGGCGTTTGTGCGTCACAGTTTAAATTCTATTGTATAATACGTTATTATTAACTTGCACAGGCGGGTGAGAAGGGAGGGTAGTTAATGCTGATGCAACACACAGTGGTTCGTCTACTGATTTGTATTTGACTTGAATCTATATGCTTATACGAAAAATACAAACCATGTATCATATCAATATAGTGCAAAAGTGAACCCACATCCATTTTTTTTACATGGTGAGGTTTTTCGCGCAAAAAAAAGGCGTAAAAGCAATATGTTTCAGTGCCACAGTGAACTAAGTCCTTAGATCATCAATGCTGCCAATTACTGGAAATAATACAGTCGTCATGGACTTGTTTCACTTTTGCTCTAAAGCCTCCATATTATGTACAGCTTATTATTATCATCTACGTGACACAAAATTGTACAAATTTGCTTCAAAGCCCAAAAAGTAATTGCACAAAACTACTACAGTCGCGTGCTAATTCGATTGTTGTAATACAATTTTTTGCATTAGGTGATATTTAACGTGGCGTTTTCAGTAGCCGTGGACATTTTCATTCGTACCACTTCATAGATTGAGTTTTGTTTTTCATTTGTATAATATGCAGTAGTGTGAGGAATTTTTTAGATCATCACAGATTATTGTTATCTTAAAGAAATAACACAACATGTGTCGTGAACAACAGTTCGCTTTGGCGATGTAGTTTTTTATTTTATCTTTTTTTTTTGTGTTGTCATTCAGCGAATGTCAATGCGAATATTATTCTTATCGCGTGCAATTCAAGTGAATACGAAAATCTACGCTAACGTTGGACTTTTTACTGAGTACATATTATTTTTTATTTTTCGCGGTAATCATTCTACGTCCAATCCTTTGGTGGAATTTGCCCAAATGCGCTGTGACGCCTTGAAACGTCCCTTCGCAGTAAATGGAATACATATAACAAATTGCACGTGACACGAAAAGCTACGTTTAAACGCTAGTCGTTTCAACACAAATGTAACTTCCTGTACCTACATTTTTATGGCGCACTTTCTGGAACTAGTCAACAGCAACTCAATTCATCGTACCATAATACTCCGAGATGAATTTGTCACGCTATCTCCCAAAGTACTCGTATGTCAACATCAGTCGAAATCTTTAGGATATTATATATTTTTTTGATGTTTTATTCGCTCACAAGCTCGTTGTCATTTCTCACGAAGTTATCCAACTAAAACATCCTATTCCGTTCCCAGCAGTTGACACGTGACATAACGACTACAGATGTATGCTCTTTGGTAATATCCAAGAACATCAATATTTATCACAAGAAAAGTACCGCTGGTCTCTACTGTGTCTGTCAATCCAAAAACTAATACATTTATGTATGATATAATTATTATCTCAAACCGTGTTTGGAACTTAACGCTGGAAAATGTGTAACCTTTATTTTGTCCTCAAACCGTTCATTTGATCATTTAATTGGCACAGTAACTAATTACATGCAAAGTTGAGCGAAACTCGGGTTTTCAGAATTTTTTTAAAGTCTCAATCGCAAACTATTTTATTCCTAATTTTGCCCAGCTATTGTGCATGCTAGGTGTAATAAGTCTATTGGTAAGATAACATTTTCAGAGTACAACATCGACGATTAGGATTTATGCATTCGTGCAGTCTGTTCAGCATTTAGCTAAATCGTGCATGTGCGTTGGTTTTTTTGCAGCCACAGAGACTTAAAGCCCGAAAACCTGTTGCTGGACGAGAAGACTAACATTAAAATCGCAGACTTTGGCATGGCGTCACTGCAGCCCAACGGAAGCATGTTGGAGACCAGTTGCGGGTCACCGCACTACGCTTGTCCGGAAGTCATTCGCGTTAGTGTACACTAGATACAGTCATATATTATCCTTATTACCACTCTGTATATTATTAACCGTTGAATATATTGTGCACCACACAGGGTGAAAAGTATGACGGTCGAAAAGCAGATGTCTGGTCATGTGGAGTGATCCTATACGCTTTACTGGTCGGCGCTCTGCCTTTTGACGACGACAATTTGCGACAGTTGTTGGAAAAAGTGAAAAAAGGCGCCTTTCACATACCGCACTTTGTGCCACACGACTGCCAGTCCTTGCTGCGAGGCATGATCGAGGTGGATCCAGAAAAACGATACACGGTAAGTTTCGTTTGGGTACGATTTGATTATCAGTACAGCCGGTTGCTAACAAGCGAAGGTATGATTTCTGTGAAAATTAGTAGCTATCGAGTAGTGTAGATTCATACTACCTTATTTCTAGGTTAAGCAAGCTTCAAATTTTATAGGTTTCTAGAGTTTATATATAAAGCATTATTAAATCAAGTATACATTATAAAAAGACATTTTCTTTTATACAGAGAAAACCCTGTCTACCTTCGGAATCCGTTGTGGAAAATTGCATTTCTGTAGCGTATATTATTAACTGACCCAGATAATATGTAATTATATTATCTTTTATAAGATGATGAAAAATGCGCTTCGTGATAAACTTAGCAGAATATTGAACAAGTCCTTTTTTTAAGAAACGTTGTAAAAAAATATTACCTATTACTGTACAAAATGCAATTTTCCAAGATTTAAGATCCAAAGTATTTTTGTAAAGCTCGAAAGAAAATTAAATTAAGTGTAATTTTGTTCGTTTCTGTTTAAACGCTTTTGCAACTAATGAAATTCCGGAAAACATCTTTCCTATAATTATTTTTTGAGATTATACTTAGCAACTCTGTTCGACCTTGTCACTGTCGACAGTCGGAAGCTGCATCTTAAACTGAATAATGTATAATAGTTACTGAGACTCGTATTGCGTTGTTCATATTGCATTTTGAATCGAATTTCAGTTAAAGGACATCATCAGACACCCTTGGGTGGCCGCCGGCAACAAAGGAGAAGTTCACTTGGGTATGTCAATGATTGACGTCATACAAACCCATATTATTCCGTCCTCCAGCGATTTAGATACAGACGTACTCCAGGCCATATCGAGTTTGGGCTGTTTCAAAGACCGGGAAAAGCTTATAGCTTCTTTGTTGAGCATCGAGTAAGTGCACAGTGTAAAAATTCAATTATGGTTAACTATTGTATAGAAATCCGGTGTTAGATAATCGATATCCAATAATAAATGTTAAACGAGACAATCTGAGGACGTGAAATGACCAGAGTTCGTATAATTCCTCAGTCATGGTTAGCTTAAGTTAGCTTATCTAAATAGATTCTGCATAGGAAAAGTGCAATATAGAAGAGAAGAAAGCCGAAGGGTAGTATTAAGGATGGTCACAATGAGGTAATGCCAGTGAAAATAGTACTGAATATTATCAAGATTAATCATTGCAGGGGCGTTTTGAAGAATGGTCGTAAACAACCTACCCCCCCCCCCTAATGTTGGGGCATGTAGGATTTATGACTATTTTATATGACCTTAAACAAAAGTAAAACGGTCATTGTTCAATTCACGTTTATGCAGTATCATTTTTATTTTATTTCAAGTGGTGAATTTTATTATTAATTTATAATTCGAAATCGTTAAACGAATGAATTGTTTTTTTAAATAATAATGGATTCTTTAGAAAAAAACAAATTACAAATTGTTTTACTGTACATCCGCTATTAATATTTAATAGGTACAAAAATTTACTAACTTTTAATTGAACTTTATTTCGTGGAAATATGTTTTCTAATTTGATTAAGACGTTTCTATGGAGTTTCAAAAATTGTGTTTTGGCACCGTTTTAGATAAGTCCCAAGGGATAGCTTGTTCTTTTGTCTACAACCACGGCTGATTGATTCCCCGTTGACATCAGTTATGAATTGATTATAACTTGTCTAGAGCTTGTGCATGTACACACAATTGATATGTGTTAAGCGTTGAGATTATCCCCAGTTGTGTTGGATGACATCAGTCAAGGTTGGAAATTACGTTAAGCCGTGTAAATAACTGAAGTTCTATGTGTTCACCTGAAAATTATTTCAGTAACACATCAAAATTGGCATTTTTTAATTTGATGGAAAGTTTTGGAATGAATGAAAAAACCTATCAACAGAATAATATACTGTCTTAAGGATATTTATTTTTTAGTTTGGTAAGAGGTGAATTAAAAATCATAAGTGACCTAGTTTTGTTTAGAAACACTTTTTAGATTTTTTTCTTTATTCACAGGTTCTCTATGAATTTAATATTACTTTATAAAGGATTATACATCCAGGAGGCAGCTAAAAATACATTTTTGAAATTTATTCTGTACAAAATTATGTGGTTTATATTATTTATTGTTTTTTTTTTAAATGATTATGCAATAAAATAATTAATCAATAATAAGTACTACAATTTTTTTATAAAATGATATTTCGCCGACTGATATTTTTAGACTTACGGATAATAGTTTTTCACGTAAAACATTTTTTTTCCTAACAAAAAAAATATACATTTCATTTCAGCAATTATATAAATTATTTATTTACGCGAAGGAGATTTAAAATAAATTGGAAAATACATTTTTTTTTTGTAAAAATCTAATTTGAAAGTTCCCAAAGTTTTTTAATAGCAAACAAACTAAAATTTAATCCATTCTGTCTAGATAACTTCATATAAAGTAAAATACATCACAGATAAACCTTTACATTTATACACTTATAAAAGTTTTCATATATAAGCTCAATTTTTTTTTTGTTTGGGAAAAAGTACCTATATTTTTCACATAAATTTCAAGAATACCATTAAAGCGCTAAGTAATGGAATATTTTTTTCTTCGTATTTTAGTTCACTAAAACTGACAAATAGTTTCAATCAGTTTCCCGTTCCACATGTTTTAACAAAAAAAACTACTCAATTACGCCATTAGTGATGGTATACAAGTAAAATCGATAAATCAAATGTACAATTTATAAAGTTTCTAAACCATCTGGTGTCGTCAGAACGGTATTTCATTTTTATTTCTATTTCTCCGAAACTATATTTATCATATCTCTTATTGTTTTAAACAATAAGTGTAAAGAACCAAAAATTATGAAAGTTTTTGTTGTAATTGCAATTTTTTGTTAGTTGCCAACTTCGCTACATTGTAACCTGATTGTTCGTATATTCTTTCTATCGTCTAATTATCTTAATTTTCTTGAGTGTCACTTAAGGCATGTACAATTAGAGAGTGTATAATTTTCTTCACTAGTTTTTTGTTGATGTATAGTGAAATTTACAAACACTCTAATTGCAAATAAATAACCAAAAAAGTCTTATTTTTAAAACAGACATTTCGTTTTGGCCCAAAACTAAACGCTGCCAGGAAATCCTAACAAGAAAAAAATGTTTCTATATGTACAGTTTGTTGGTAAAGGGGAATAACACCATTATTTTATTGTCAAACTCAATCTCCCAAGAATTGATGCAACTATTCTTTTTACCCTCGCTCCGTCCAAATAGTTGTCGAAAAAAAAATTGAGATAAACAATGAAAAATTTGTAATAAATATAATATATTCCTGGTGTTGTGTGTGTAACATTGTTTAATATTGTGTTTTTGCCTCCAGACATAATACAGAAAAAGTAATATACTTTCTGTTACTCGAACGGAAAAAACGACGACCAGCAAACGACGACGACTCGACTGTGGTGAAAAATTCTTGCAATTACACTTTCGACCCGCCCAAAAAGAGGGTGGACAAGTGTAAAATGATCGACGACATCGACACCAATTTCTCACAGATCAGCGCCGGTTCACCTGCAACGCCTCGCAGACAGATATTACAGTAAGTTCTGACCATTTATATTTATTCGAGTTCCCATCCGTTTGTGATTGAAATTTCCCAGAAAAAATACTATAAACATAATAGTATTTACCATCAGTTTCAGCGGACCGGGCAATACGTTTTGTATGGATAACATTATTTTTGAAACATAACTAATTGACCCATTCTGCTTGAGTCATGTTGAGTAGGATAAAATTGAATTGATAAAAACTAAAAGGTCATCAAGATATCTTTTTTTTTCTCTCTTTTTGAAACATCCAGTCTATACAAGATTAGTACAATAAGTTATATAATACATGATGACACAAGTGATTTGTAGACAATGGAAGCTTGGAAAAAAGAAGCCGCCGACTGACGGCACTCTTATGGGTTTTGATTCTTACTTAAGGGGAGAGGAAATCAAGGCACCACTTCCTTTTTAGCTATTTGTGGGGGTTGTCGGGCATATTCCCTAGTGAAAGATTTTGTATATGATTAGAAAAATTCTTTAAAAAAAAAAAAGTAATCTGGTAAAAATGAAATATGGTATTTTTCCAGTTGATTACTTTTCAAGTTGTCAAAAATGTTTTAATAAAAAATTATGACTTCCCGTGTTAATCAAATGCGAAAAAATTGACCATTAGGAAGTATTTAGAGTTAAGCTTTATTAAGTTATACCTACCAATTCGTAACTGATTTATTACTAAAACCGTTACATGATGTTTATTAAAATGTCGTACAAATTGATATGAGTTTTGCCGTTGACGTCTTAACAGCGTCGCCGAATTGTCTGATTCACAAAAATGATTTTCTTACATTTCTCAACACGGGTGTTAAGAGTAGAAGAGGAATTATTTATGATTTCGAATAATTTTCCACTTCCCAGAAAACGCCTTGGACACTTTAACGTTACTCAGAACTTAGGTGTGACTGATACTTATATAGATGGGACGCGTTCCAATGGGGCGACTGCCAAAATAAAATTGATGTTTTATGTAGATTTCTCTGTTTTTCTTAAGCGTTATTACATCCTTGAACCGAGGCAAGGCTGCTTACAACCCAATAGCGCGCATTTTGAAATCAACAAAGTGTCATGATTTATAATAATATACTATTTGTAGGACATTTTATGCCGCATTTAGTAACGCGCATATTGTGCTTACTTCAGTGTAAGTTTAGCAACTCATAGTCTGCCCGATAATTTATGACCGTTTCTGTGTGCCAGGTGTGCTCTGTACCACTATCCGCTATGCATAAACTCCCATTTGTGTGGTTACTTGTAGCGAACGTTACAACACTACCCGAGTTTAGTGGCTTGGTCACGAGAAAGCGTCGACAAAGTTTTAGTTAATTCGATCTTGGATTCGAGGCACTTAAATTATTGCGGCGGAATTCAATAGAGGTTTAAAGTTAACCAGCAGTCCCCTCCTGTCGAATAATTTCTATAGTATATTTCAGTAGTTTTTAATTTTAATACTTGGTCATTGTGCATTTTGTAGTTTGTATTTTATGGTTCAAGTGTTAAATGGTAGGTTCGCAAAAGTACTTTACCCATGTCTGATTATTTCGCTGATATAAAACCTCAATGATGATTGATACATTTTACATTTATAAGTCTTCATTGTTTTCTGGGTTAATAATATTTTATTTGTTTTAAAGGCAGCCCTTACATATACAGCGTACTCCAAACAAATCGAAACTTTTTTTGGAAAGTTAAATCGTATTATAATTCCAAGTTGAACAATTTATCAATTTTGAAGATGATTTGTCGGTTTTTTTTTTCAATTGTATACTTGAACTTACTTTTTGATCTACAGACTGTATATAATGGGTAAATGTTAATTTTCAGCACATTTTACTGCATTTCATTATAATTTAATCGGTTTCCAAGCAGAACTAAATTATGCTATAAAAATATATCTTCAAGATCAATTGTCCCATTTTCCAGCTCTTTTCCCCGAAAGGACTTTTTGGCGAAGAGGAGTCCCACTGTGTTTTTTAAGCACACTCAGCCGCAAACGCCTGGGCATGCATAATACTTATTATATTATAATACGATTAAAGATTTAACGTTTTCGGTAGTGTACAAAATGATTTATCGCCTATTATTTTAATAACTGCAAAGCGTAAGACGCTAACTTGGAAACAAAGAAAAATGATGTATAAGGAAATAATCATAGTATACTTACTGTATGAGGTCCTCAAAATGTAATACATATTTTTTCTCTCTTAATGTTTAAATTTTAACTGAAAGCAGGTATGCTGGACTATAAAGTTATAATTTGAATATTATGGTTAAATGTTATGAAATACAATATCAAATGTTTAATATTCAGTATTATTTCTGTTTCTATTAAATGAAATTAAAACCCTAGTCATTGAGTGTTTATTATTAAAAATATTATATATTCATACTACAGTTTGCAACAAATTCGTTTTATACTTTTTAGAATTACAAAATTAGTTCAAAATATAATTTTTTTATTACCATTTAATTCGAGCTCAATTAAAAACAAGACAGACCAAAGCCTATCAGATTTACTCGCCATTTGGACACGCCTCCGAATAGCATGACAAATAAAAAAGTGTACTGTGATTATGTCAAACGAACAAGAGCGCCCTGTTATTATTTTAATAATGTAACGTAATTATTACTGCTTGTTAACCACTATAATCTCACCTAAACCCCTTTTACTTCAAATAATTCAAATTTGCTTTATATTGATTCAGAAACATAATATGTTTGTTAGTGTGTGGTCACGAAATCTATTAGGTTTGTTTAACAATTGTATCGCTCTTTTATTTCTCTTGTTTGTCAGCACTTAAAAGTTCAAACTGAATTTTTCTTTAACAACTGGTCGGCGTGTCGAATCGGACCAATTCAAAATTTATTTTAAAAATTTACGAGAACAAAAAATATCAATGGCACTGCAAACAAGATTAAATTTTTGTGGTATATCTTTTCTTAGCATCTTAAAGTTGAATAAAGCTTTTTAAAAAATTGATAACTAGGCCCTATCTTTTCAGCTTTCTGATTCCCTTTGCAACATCAAACAGTTTTACTTCAGTTGTAAATAACTTGAATGTGTACAATTTAGCTATTGGTTATTTGAACATATATTATGTTAAGATAGTAAATGATTGCTACGAATGACTAATCCAAAACTACACCTGACAAGTGAAAAATAAATATTCACATTTTACAAGACTTTTAGATTTTTCATTCTCCGTTCGTGTCACCTTGTCCCGGCTCATTGTCGACAAGCTTCACAAACAATAGGGTAATATTGCAAAGGTTGAGCCTCCTTCCCTATTCATCCCTCCACTGAAGTTGTTTTACCTTTATTATCTGTTATTCGGTTGAGCGGACAAAACGAGACGACCCTGAAAACGTTATTACATTTTTTTCAATGAAATAAAAATCAGAAAGAAAGCGCGTTTTTCATTCCTCGGAAAAATACATAATAATATAAGCAAGTGACAATTCCATCTGTCAAAAGAAAACCAATGACATCAGTTTAATATATTAACGCTCGGAGCATTGACGATTTGAATTATTTAAATGTAACCTTTTATTTTTACTACATTTCTTGGAACCGTTTCTTGAAAAAAAAAAAATACTAAGGCGAATAAATGAATTTAATTATCTTTCTTTCTCTTTTGCGTGTTGATTGTTGAAATTTAATATATTCTTTGCGACGGTGGTCGATTCGGTCGGTGGAAATTTGTAAACGGGACGCATCATGACTTATTTTAATAACTTCGCTGTAGTCGTCTTAATGCCCGGACTATGGAAAATAATTAATATTCATAACCCTTCTGCCGTATTATATTTTATAATCCAATTTGGATGGCGTTGAAAGAAAGCCGAACCAAGGCGGTAGCGGGGCCGGTGTGGTATTGTTACATTATTTATAATTACAGCTGTACTTCTTTCCTTGGTCTTTATCCACAAGAGCATAATACGCGTAAGGAAGGTTAAATTACTCATAAACGTACCAATAGGCTGAGTATAAAAGTTGTACAGGGTGTCCCTAATGTCTAGTTAACTCCAGACGAGTCTTACAAGCCTACAGTAATTGTCAATATTTAAAATTGATATAGCGATTGGTTTTTTTTTTTTTAGTATAATTTTTGAGAAGTAAGTTAAACAAACGGTTAAAACATAAAAAAAAACACACAAAATAGTTTGTATTATTTCATAAATATTTTATTTGCCATTCATTACCACTGCAAAACAGTTAAACGTTTTACAAACCTACATTTTTAAAACTTTTCTTTGCTACTGTGGTGCAATCATGAGACCAATTTCAATATTTAAAGGGAGACGTGAACTTTTCAAATTTTTAGTTATTTGGGTGGTGGATAATTTGTGATCTAGGGATCGGCTACACTACAAAATAGGTCCAGTGGTTTAAAAGTTGTCATGGATCCAGACTAAAAAATATTTAATAAATAAGGCGGTGTCCAATCGACAGCCCTATATTATATTATAAACAATATAACAATACCTTATCTATAAGCCATGCACCAAATCTAAAAGTCTTATGGAAATTTGAAAAAAAAGAATATAACAACAAATGAAGGTTTGGGAGAGGATTGGTGAACGATTTTAGGCTCTATTGAATTGTATAATACAGATTGTATAGTACGATAACTAAATAATTTGCACACTCAAATTTAAATTTTCAATAATTATATAACAATAAAAAAAAATGATATCACCATCCTTTAGGATGCTTGTTTAAAATCACAAGAATGGAAAGCGACTAGCGACAGATTAATTTTCGATATTGCACATTTTGTATAATGAAGTTGGTTTTCAAGAAAGTTTTCATGTTATAAGTGACATGACTGGGTTATAACACCACCAAAGTATCAACTTAACTCAAAATTTCTTTTTTTAGTAGGTATATTAGGTTTAACTATAATAATAATAATATACAGTAGGTCGGACTCGTTGGTTAATATTGTGCGACAACGACTTAAGTCTTCACTTCATCTCTTGCCGACAATGGATGATTTTCATTGTATTGTTTTACTTAATCGCTTTTAATTTAATCATCTAAGGCGAACGGCGCCTGTTAATTAAATTATTCGGCGAAATTTCTATTAACGGATTTTCAGAGCAGCGGAGAGTTTTCGTAGTAATCTAACATGGTGTTCTTTGTAAAGATGTTTCCCAGTAGGTCGTCCCTGACCTAACCCATCCCGATTGTTAATGCGATTTATTTGAGTTAGGTTAGTTTAAATTTTGTTAGTGTATACTGCTGTCTTTGAATTAATTAAGAAAAAATAACAGCACTATTTCAAACTGAAACACAGTATTTATTTAGATTTAACATGGCAGTTTAACTTATGTCTTATGGCCGTTGTAATCGCGGTTAATATACTAAAAACTATACAATAACGTAGCGACTGGTAATGAACCGGGTTATTAATTTATTTGTGGACCACGCTTTGAAATAACCCTCGCATACTTACTTGGCGCTAAATTAAACAAAATCAATCCGAGTCTAAAGAGAATAGAATTGATAACATAATGTCATATTACAGAAACTTTCATACGTTTTGCTTTTATAGGGTCGTCAGTGTAAAAAATATTTTGTTCTTGAAATCATACAAATCGTAGGTTTTATATTATGTTTAATTATATTATTATTATTATTACTTACAATTAGAATACTATTATCGTACATCATAACCGTAGTAAAGTAACGTCCCCCAAAAATCAGAGTGCATTATCCGGTTGACCTCTAGAGTCTTATAAAACCTTTCCAGCCTATTGTAAAACAGATATAATTCAGTTAATTTGCTTTTTAGGAATCGCGTTTACTTCAGAAGAGGCAGTTACAACAACGGGGCCTCGACCAGCGGCAACTTGAGTACTGGAATGGACGGCTCGTCGACGTTGGCCGGTATCTTATCGCCCTTGCCGTATAGGTAAGTCTCATAACACAGTATCTACTTGTCTACCATTTCTTTAAAGGGAAAAGGAACTACAGGTCTATTAAAATATGAACTACGTGTTTTTTTTAACCCCGACCGCTTGAGTCGTTTGAGAAGTTTGTTCTTCACTTTACCCCATTCACGGACGAATAACTTAATTCCACCTCTTCTTTGTCCATGACTGGGGTAATTTATAGCCCAGGGAACTGGAGTGATTTATATAGTCCTAGGGAAAACTCTAAGAAGATAAATAAATAAATACTCAAAGTTGAGTGAACTAGACGAGTTGCTCGTTGACAAATCGCATAAATATAAATTCATTCAAATGAATGCTACGGGGTTCAAATAATTGCGGTGGTGAAGTAATTGATTGAACGTATTACCGTAGGCATATCACAGCCCGAACTCAATAGCATTCGTTATAAAAACCAATGGTTTTGTGATTGTATAGCTTGTGACAAGCACTCGTTTAGTCCGCTCCAAGATGGGTATCGACTGACTTTGAGAGTCATCGAATTTCGCGTTAAATTACAGGTCGAACAGCTCAAATTACCGTTACCTAAACCACAACTACAAGGGCCCGTCTAAACCACCTCCAAGTTCGTCGCACGGGTCTTACACGACTCACAGTCAGCCCAACAGCAGTGGCGGCAGCAACAGCAGCATGGAAACGGTAGGAGTAAGTGCAGTGCGATCCTTGCCGGTTGTTCCGCCGTCACCTGTGCATCACGCCAAACAGTCGAAAGTCGACACCAACCATCCGTCAAGTAAGAGTAAAACCAGTTAATACTAGAACAGCAGTTATCGTGCACGCATATTTTATTATAATAATCGAGGTTTAAGGTCGACAAATCAAAATCATCTTCTTCATAAACTCTGTGCACTCAACTGTGATTGATCAAGACACAATCGTCTTGATTCGACCACGCCATAGTCGACTCTTGGTTCTAGTTTATCATATTTTCAACTAGACTTGGAAAAGACGCATATCATTGTGACAGGTATCACAGACAGTTCTGAAGAGAAAAGTATCTCAAGAATGTGTATAAAAGTAGTATAGGATATGTATGAAGGAGCAAAAACTATAGTTAAGAGTGTGTGTGAAGAAACATAAGACATAAGGTGTTCGTCAAGTCCATATTTGTTTTTTCTTAGCAACGGATGAACTTACTAAGTTATAGGGTGCTGAAGATCGGTGCCTATTGTTTGTTAACAACGCGGATTTAGTGGATGAGAGTACAGAAGTTTTGGAAGCTTAATTAGATCAATGACTAGAATATGAAAGATAATATGTAACTTTTTATCGGTGAATGTATCGTCTCTTTTATGATGTGTACTTTTTACAGCAGTAGGACCTACGCCACCAGAGTCACCGTCGCATGTCCAAACCCATTGGAAATCCAGACTGACATCTATTCGAAATAGCGTTTTGGGTTCACCCAGATTCCACAGGCGCAAGCCACAACGTAAGTAGTCGACATCACCATCGAATCTGTCAACGTATCATGTGGTTTTCTATGTGTATGTTTCAGTTGATGTAATGGATAATGTGTACAGGCCAACTCCGCCGGCTTCTCCAGAAATTACAAAGAAATCCTGGTTCGGTAGCTTGTTGGCTTCCGAAAAAGACGAATCGTTTACCATTTTGATGACCGGAAAACCGCTGTCCATCATCAAGGCTGACTTGATACACGCTCTCCTTTCGGTAAGCATTCGGTTACCGTTTAGAAGAAATGCTTCGAAAATGATAACCAACAATAGTCAGATGGCCCGTTGCCTTTTAATTAACCCTAGCTAACGCTAACCATTCGTCGATGAGGCTGAACGCTGATAATTTGTAAAATTAAGGTTTAGAGTTAAATTAACTGCTGTTTATATAGCGGAAGCGTATGATTCGCATACAACTGCTTTATTACCTCCACTCGACTCTGTCATACTTGAGTATTTAGGCAGTGCGCACTTGCGTTTATAATACTCATCTCGGGCCTTTCTTTGTTTCTCCTTCGCCGACTTTCATTATTTACATCTAGGAAATAGCTCGTTACGAACTCGAGACACAAAGGACTTAGAAATCTCAAGTGGGACGTACGCGAGCACGTCCTGGAGTGCGTTCGAAATTCAAACACCAGCTGTACTTAGCCCATTGTGTTTTTCCATGCGATTCCATTCGAAATAGGTTTTTACGTTTATGATGCATTGCTATTTGGTACCGATCTTATCGGCCTATGTATATACGTTCGAGGAGCAAATAATAGATAAAATCCGAGACGGCTTATGTAATTTGATTCCCTAATGCCGATCCGCGGTGTGATATTGTCGGTGACAAGACAATCTTATTGACTTAAGGCCATGATGGATGGATGTGCTCACAAACTTTGTTTACTGTCAAGTTGAAATATAAAAAACCAAATTTCTTATTTTTTCTTACAACCGCTGAACTTTTCCATCAAAATCTTTTTTGGGGCTTATAAAAATAAAAATATACAGGCATCACTTCCAAATAGAAAATAAATAAATTTTACTTACTTTCTTTGTTTTTTAATCGGTCAAAATCATTCGGTTCAACCAAAAAGTACAAAATAAACTGGTTTAGTTGTTGATTGGTACTACTAAGTGGTTATGCAAAACCTCTAAATTTTATATATTCGAGTTTTAATGCATATTATGTTATGCAGTGAATTTCATTTAATCTAAACACACATTTCCAAAAAGCAAATAAAAATGTTTAACATATTGCATGTGATGCGGAATGCGAAGAGATCTTTTGACGGCAAAATTTATATTGAAAAAACGCCAAAACATTAGCAAACTTGAAAATGCAAAAACTTAGTTATTGTTAAAAAATATATACCCGGTTTAAAATTGTTTGAACATTAATCAAGTATCAGAAGTAACACTAACTCCATTTTTAAACGTAACTAACAAATAAATATTAGGAAAACAAGTTTTGAAAAAAAACGTGTTAAATATAATATAACAAAATATTGTTTTTGAAAATGATCGGTAAAAAAATGCATTTTTCATGTTTTAGACATTTTGTTAAACGTTATTAAATTTGTATAAATGTTGTATAAAATATTTGATTTGCAACACATTACAAATTCAACAGTGTAGTAACGTTTTACATACGTTTTTGACAAAATTATCTTTAAAGTTATTGATTGGCTTATAGTTATCACTATGAACCAGTATAGTGAACGGCCTCGGTACAATAATAAAAGCACTCGAGTTAACCCGACGATTGTTATAACGAAAGCGCGAGGGTTGCGGTTGGGACGAAAAGTTATATCGGGTGTGCGCTTTGTGTGTACCGTACGCAGCCATGGCGAAAACGTGCAATTAAAATGCACCACAGCTTCGATATGGCGGCGGCGTATACACACTATCATATTGTATACGTGTGCTTACCGAGTGGATTTCGTTGTGAAGGGTGACGAGAAAACGCCTAACCGCTGCAACTCCGGTAGTATAAAATGCTCAAACCCAAAGTTTCCATGGCAACGGCACGCGTACCGGTGTACTTGCATGTGTGCACACACAATGTACCTTTGTGGCGAGTAATTGACTAGAAGTCTGTCCCGTGTCTACCTACCCCGTGTGTGTACGCTTCCGGCTACCCTGTACATATTTACCCTTTTCGTATACACAACTCACGTGTCCCGAGTCCCCAAGTCGAACCGCATACCCTACACCGTCCGGGTCTGTCTTCCCCTGTCGTTTTTCAAAATGGATATTTGATCGCACCCCTTAAGGCCACAAAGGTACCGCGTGTACACACGCAATGCTATTGTAAATTCTCACCTGTACGCCAAATGGTGTGACGGCCAAAGCTACAGTGTGGTCGTCTCAATGGTGCTTTCGGCTTGTCTGGATTTAAACCTACATTCTATGTTAAAACATCAAAACTAACCGAGTGAAAGTCAGGTGATTAAACAGTCCCCTTTAGTTAGTTCATACCACAGTTCTAAAAAACTTGCAAATTCGACATATTTTTTAATATCAACTTCTTTTTTTAAATGTTGCAGAGATGTTTTTTTTTTTAATTTTTTAAAAAAATTTATTTCGAAAGCAATGTTTTTTTTTTTACTGACTTCTATGTTTTTGGGGTAGCTGATTTAAAAATTATTATCAACTTTTTTGGGTTAAAGAGCAGTTTTGTAGACAAAATTTAATTTCGTAAACATATTTTTTGTTGTATATCGATTTAAATTGTTTTAGATATATTAACAAATTATTGTATCAGTTTAGAAATGTAACTCTTACTTTAGAAGAATTGTAAAAGTAAACGCTTTTTGAGCATATTCAATAATGAATAATATAAAATATATGTAAATTGAAACAAACGAAAAATTTTGATGTTGAAATGGGATGCTCATCGTATATTTTAGACGATAATTGAATGTATTAAAAGAAACATAATTTTAGTATGACACAGTGAACACAGTATCTTAGACAATTTGCATATTCAAAAAATATTAATATTAAATTTACAGATTCAAATTTGGGTAAATGAGTTAATTTATACTAAAACTTTTGTTTACAAAAATATAGGTGAATACTAAAAGCCTTTATTGTGCTAGTAGTATATTTTATTAATTTCTAAAATAGTATTTAAGACAATCTTCAAATATTTTGTCAGACTACTGGGTAAGCGTTTAAGTCTTTAGCTTCACTTCCATTGTAATCATTACCACGCAAGACAATTTCTTTTAATTATTTTAGTAATCATTAGAACCATTTTGAAAGTAAACATAACTAGTGTTGATATGAAGTAGAAGTGCATTTGAATTTTAAATTATATACATGCGCTTTACTGTAATATCTGTCTAGATACCATTTCTGGCAATTGTAAACTAACATAATATGCATGTTGTCATTTTAGATAGCGGAGTTGAGCCATACACTAATCAACTCTGTGTCGTTTCACGTCGAGTACAAGAAAGGATCAGGAAGCACCGCCATGTTCCAAAGGCAAGTTCGTTTTCAGATAGCCATCACAGACATCACAAATTCGAACCCATCAAGAGAACCATTGTTTGCAATTGTATTTTCTCTGCTTACTGGTGAGTAAAATATAATTTATATTCAATCAATACTTATATTTTATGCAGTTACTTAAGTGTTAAAATGTTTATTGTGCATCCATTCATAATAAAAAACCACCCTGTCCCTTCTACTTTTTCTTGTCAGTCAATACTATTAATTTATTTATCTACTCTATGATCGTTTAAACGTACCTATCACTTTTTTTTTTACTTTCATCAGATGATTCCTGTAACGAACTTGGTTTTCACATTGTTTGCTGTTTTGTTTTCTCTTCTCGACGTAATATACTCAAACGATCGTTATCGTCTTTCCTTTCCGTTGCTTTTAGCACTTACCTGATCCTATCCCACGTAGAGCAATAATACATTTAGACATCAAAATCCATCACTTAACTGGATCTATCAAAATGTCAACTCGAAAATGTTATATCGATCTATTTCTACAGTAAGACGGTCTAGGTGCTTGAGAAATCAGATGGCAATATTGAACAAGTTCAGTGGAACTAGAAAATACACATAATAAAGTAGTAAATTATCAGAGTAAAATCAGAACAATTGAATAACTATTGGGGGTTTCTTTTTTTCTATAAACATTCTGAGGCAATCATATAAACTTTTTCTACGATTGTGATAATATCCCGCAGGTAACATACGCCGGTTTCGGAGGGTTTGTGAACAAATCCAGAAGCTGATGTGTGCCAGGAAAGCGCCGCCACCTTCGCCCAGGGCCGGCAGAAAGTTCAACGGGGACATATCGGAGAGCTCGAGCTGCGGTTCGGACGGGTCGGAGAGGCTGGCCGCGTCTTACGTGAGCATAAGAAGCGTGAGTATGCATCAGTAGAATCACTGAACTCAACATACGAAACGAGTCTGCTGCTTATGGAAATGCCCACTAGTGGGAGGCCGTCATTTTGTGAACAGTTTTTGTTTTGTCCATGATGTTTATTGTTCTTCGACATGGATATGTCTAATCGCTGGGGGTCATCAAGAGATAAAAGAGTAGATATTAGAAAAGTACCCGGGTCCTATACTTGTATATTAAGACAAATCCATGCGGCGGACGTCATGCCCATTTTTACAAGGTACCTATCATGGAAAAGTAACGTAGCGTTTTCACATGAAACTTGTATCACAAAATGGCTGCCTCCCAGGCCGGGATATTTTGCAATCTGTCAATACTCGTTACACAATATATTGAGTTCAGTGCTCAGCGTAATACTGTCGATTGTTGCCGAATATTTTAATATGCTAATTGTGCGCCGTCGCGGAACGGTTTTCCGCGCAGGCAAATTCCGACAGGGACGAAAAGAACCTCCGGTTGACGGCAAACAGAGGCGGTGGCATTTCAAAATCAGACGGTAAGGGTACGGACCCGCCGAGGAGACGCAGCACCAGCTTGCAGGTCGGTCCCATCCCGCAGTTCAACGGGGCCGGCAAAACGTCTCCTTTAGCTGATTCGTCAGCGAGCATTGTCTGCAGAGCCAGCAGCAGCAACAGCTCGGCCGAACAGCAACTACTACTGCCCAAAAGCGATTCGAAACCGACCGACAGCCGTCGATCGTCCGGTTCTTGATCGACATAATGCTGAAAAACACTTCCCGCGTTTGTGTTTAGTTGAATAGATATTTTTCGATAATAACAACCGACCGAAGTGATAGACAAATAGGCGTAGGTCATAGGTATCCAACGGTGCATACCCGCCGCATCGTTTTCCAGCCCAAGAAAAATAGACTTATAAATCGTTTATGTAAATACAGTATGTTACTTTATTTTAAATGGTTGATCTTCGTACGACGCTCATAAACGATCATCTACCGTGTTATGTATGATTTATTGATTACTGTAAAAGCTAAGTTTGATGTTCTACAGAGATTTGTCGTGGTCGGTTAGGTTGTCGTCTCCGGTGGTCCGGTTAAGTATACAGCAAGTCCAATCAACAAAACACAGCTCACATTCGGTCACAGATGTTTGATAGTTTCAAAATGGTTGAAATTCTTAAGCTGCCGAGTGCAATTTTATCTAATCTTATAATTATCTTTCAAAACGCTTCGACCCGACCAATGGAAACGACAACTGATCACCGCCACATCTGCCAAACTGGTCGTGGCCATCAAAGGATGTGCAAACTCTCATTGAACGGTGCCCAATTCGATAAAAATTCGTATTATTAGTGTTGTAAAATATACTTTGACGGACAACAAGAGCACAAGTGCAATTTTCTTAACGTGGTTATCCAAAATATAAAAAAGTTTATTTTCTACCCTACAATAACATTGTTATATCTAATATAATCCAAGCATTTTTTGGCATTTGGCGTTAACGTTCATCTACTTGCCTAGTGTAAAAATAATATTATAATACCTAGACTTCATTATCGTACTTGCGCTGTTGTTGTTGATGATGTTTGTTGGGGCATATTACTAATCCATAATCCATTGTTACCTAAACGATAAGTCCATAATATTACGTTGCGTATTATATAAGTAAATTAAACGATTATTAATATACAGTGCAAAACGGTAAGTAATATGTGTTCAGTAGCTACCGTTAAAATATTATAATAAAACTATTTAATAATTGAAATAATATTATATTATTATGCGTAACCGACATAGCGCAGGAATAGTACTTAAATAGAAATTACGGTAAATAAGATTATCGATAAGAGTATTAATTATTATGTTAAGTATACTATACTAGCGGAGACCTATTTTTGCGCTCCTTTTACAGAAAATATGATACTAGCATTGTGATCTCTAAGCCTATTACTACGTTGATACCGTATATGTTCTAGACAATTTATGTATATATAGGTTTAGTACACCAAGCAAAATACCCCCAAAAAGTTGGTTTAACAATATGTTATGTATTATTATTATTATACATTTTTGATTGAATATTATACGAAAAAACGCTGGCGGGCACGAAAAATAGTGTAAAAAAAATACATACATATATAATCTTAAATGATCTATTTTTAAGGGTTAAATTTTTTTTTTTTGGCGTTTAAGTAATTTAATTGTAAATTAAAACGAATAGACTTTTTGGTCGCTTTACCGGTGGAACGCTTCTTTATTCTTGAATCTTAGCTATTTAAAATATTTATACATTATATTTATATTATATTTTCGTTTCCTTCGCATTTTCCTTAGCGTCAACCGCCGTCGCAGCGGAGATCTCTCTTAGCCTAATTATTATTATTATTAAAACTGAAGTTATTTTTTTAGCTAGTCGCAAAACATAAAAGCTTAATGGCTGATATTTGATTGTTATAACAAAATATATTATTATATTTTACTTGTTCTTTTGTTTTATTTTTAAACAAAATTTGCACTGTGATCTTTGTTTTTTTTTTTATTAATTATACCTATACTCGTATTGTATTATTGTTTGTCCTTAACGTACATTTTTTTTTTGTGTATACAAAATCAAACATTTAAATATTAAAAATAAAAATGTAAATTAGTTACATTATCTTATTATTTAAATTATTAAGAACAATTATAATCTAATGTAACCTATAGGGAGAGTATGCTTTTCGAAACGTTTTTCCTGAGCGAATTTCTAAATCACATAACAATTATTATAGTATATACATATGTAATCATATTATTACTGAATAATAGGTTAAGGCAAGTCTGTTTGAGCAAATTTCCTAGGAATTTAAACGATGTCGTTTTGATTACGTACTTAAGTACGGTTTTCTCCATTTATTGCAGGGACTTACTAAGATGAAAAATAATAAATAACTCGATGCCCTCCCCGCCAACTATATCATATTTTTTTATGAGACACTTTTTACCCGTGCCTAAGTTTTAAAGGGTTGACGGTCGATATTGTTGCATAATGCCGTTTTAAATACTTCATGAATAGACATAATAAATATACTCATCATTTATAAGACTTATAGACCGAAAGTGGCGTAAGTAGGTAAGTTGGCTCTCCATTAAATCCTCTAAGGCCACGCCAAATTTTTTAGTAAAATGATTTATAAAATTGTCGATTTTAAACTTTTTACATATTGAAAATATTGTTTTAGCGATACAAACTCAAAAGAGTTAAGCTTTATAAAAACAGAATTAGGACACTATATTGTTAAATTGGAGCAGAATTTAGTGGAATTTTAAAAAAAATCACAAACCAAACAATTTTAAAATAGAATGTAAAGACTTAGGGGTTAAAGAGCCGGATTGGATTTTCGATATCCTAATTAAAAATTCGGATTTTGCCCAAATTAAATTTAAATAAATTTAACATTGTAAAACCCAGAAATGCGGTTCTATACCATACAGGAAAAAGTATTTAAATAATATAAAATTTTGTAATAATTTATTATTAAAACATTTTTTAATATCTAACAAATATTTAAAAATCCTATTTTGATGGGAAATCAAGTACCTACACAATTGTTTGTTTCGGTTAGAATTACTATACATTATGTTTAGGAAATATTACCTATTTAAACAAAAGGCGATCACCTAGGCAAATAAATTAAATATATTTAAAAGCAAGTAACAAATTAAATAAATACTGTGTGGTTTCAAATTCAATTAGACTTTGGTCTTTGCCCCCTTCGGTCCTATATTTCCATGTCTTTAGTATTATTATTTTCGTTGTTTTACATTTAAAAACAAAAATACAAAAAATCGTTTGCTTTATACTTTTTTTTGCTTAACTATTAAACAGCACTCGGTTTTCTAAGTAACGTAGTAAAATATACCATTGGAGAAATTTTGTCTAAAATTATTATACATATATATTAACGATTACATATATATATATATATATATATACCATTACTAATGTATTATAATATACTGTATTGTATTGTATTGTATTTTTACTGTACTAAGTCCGGTTGTAAACAAGATAAAAATTTACAAATACAAATTACCCTTGTTGATGATGAAACGGGTTGTGTTATTATTCTAAACAAGCGCTTGTATTATACAACATTGAACATTACAAACATTTTGCAGCTCTTTAAGTACACACATATACACAAGGTTTATCCAAATTTTATCTTAAACGACACCGAAATTTACTTAAAGTTGAGTTTTTATTTCTATTTCAAGATAATACAAAAACTAAGATAATATATAAACAAAATATGAGTAGGCTAGAGTCAAAACTCAAGTTCCACTGGAACGTGTAAGTTTTGATGTTGAACTATTTTTAACCCAAATAACTATAAAACATTTATATTTATTAGATTTTAAGAGAGCCATTATGATTTAAATTTTAAATATTATTAAGATGTTTTAAAGATTTTCATTCTTTAATTTTGTGAACGTACCGACAATTTTTTTGTTTTATCTGATTTTTTTACCTTTTGGTGTCAAAACTCACATACTTCATTTGAGTTCTTATCAAAACTCACATGTTCCAAACTTCATTCTAGAAAAAAAATGTATTTAAATGTATTGACTAAAATTTGCAACATTTCAATGGCAAAGTTGAGTTTTCCGTTCCAAACTACTTCAAAATAACGTAGTAGATTTTTTCGTTGTCCAGGAAAACCCTCTCCCACTTTTTTGTATTTTTTGAAAAAAATTAAGTTTTGATTCTAGCCTACTTATTTACATCGGCAACGTCATTACTGTGGCCCATACTTTTGTCAAGGTACTAGTGTAAGTGAGGTTGTTTGAAGGAGTAAATTCAAAACAATATTTCAGTTTTCAAGAGATTGTTGATATAAGTTTTTACAACTAAAATATTGCACGGACATGTAACACACCAAATCTTATACTTCTACAGAGTCAAAATTTTACAAATAGATGTTATGTTTATGTGTATTTTTTTAAGTATTCTATTTAGAATAAATAATTTAATTTTGAGACAAGTTCAAAATATGACTAAAATATGGTGTTGTTGACTTTATATTTAATAACTAAATCTTCGTATGAATAGTATACAGAAAAATAAGCATTTATATATTAAACATTTTTATTTGAACATGGGCTAGATTTTTTTTTTTAATACTTTTTGTCGTTTTAATGTTTATACTTCTACACGATAATTGTTTTTCCAAATTTGATTTTCCTTCAGAAATTGTTCAGTTAATGGTCTATTGCAGATTGCGACATTTAAAACTATATTAATTCTGTGTGTTTCTCTTACACTTCTTCACATTTTGGCCTAAAGAAACACTAAACACATTTCAGTCCATTTGTAATTTCTTTAGATTCTTGTATATTTTATTCAACGCTTCACAGTGTGTGCAGATCACATATTGTACAACAGTCGTTTACAATAATAAAGTTTATAATTAAAAATAATAACAATATCAAATTGAACATCCGAGGACAACTTGATCTTGGCTAATAAAAGTGACGAGCTTAATAACGGTTGACAATAATGAAAACAATTATATACCTGTACAATGTACATAATATTATATAATTTTTAATGTATACCAAACAACTCGACCTTAACCGTGGTTTAACATTTGTACACTTAATAGCTACTATTTCTTTATGTGAATTAAAGAGATGTAATGAAATCTATATTTGAAGTGTAAAAAATAAACCGCATCAACTCTACACGTTTATGTATTTTACAAACTCAACACGGTAAGTTTTAATAATTATCTCTGTAGGCTGTTATAGTAAAAAAAAAAAACATTAATTATATTGATGGGTTTTCGATTTCGGTAGACAGTAGTAACTTCCGTTGGTGTTTATGCATATTTCGTTGTACAGACATCGGTTGGGCGATTTGCATTCGTTTATATCTGCGTTAAACGGAATAAATCAATAACAAATATAACAACGTTGTTTCCACTAGTTTTCACAAGGACAATAAATACCGGCAAACCCGAACAACAAACCTTTGCACAAATTGTGTTCGTCCCTTTCGTATCCCCTGAGACATTTGCCTTGGCCCAAACTTGCGGCAGTGGTATTAACAGAGGTCGCCTGCACCACAGCCGTTCTGCAGGTGGGTCCGGGGCACGACCTCTTCCTCTCGCACCTGAACGATCCCAAAGTGTTCCTGCAAATCCAATCCGGTCCCAGTAGACCACAAGAATCCGTTTTCAACGTGCACTCGTCGTCATCTGCTCCAGAAAGCGATTTCCAAACAAAAAAAACAACACATATTCAACCGGTATCGACGATAGTGAAAAACGACCGGAGCTGCTGCCTATTAACTTGGACATCAAGTGCCGGGTTTGTTTTGTTTAAGCCAACCAAAAGTGGGGCGTTTATATACAAAAATATAGATTTTTTAAAGGGGTGGTATCGAGTTAAGCCCGGGGCTTCGTCAACTGTGGTCAAACGAGTTAGGTACAGAACAAAGCTGTAAAAGTATTTAGAATGTCGGTTTACCTATAAATTGCTCTACTCTACTGGTTAATACTTTTTTTGCTTAAACGTTTACCACACTTTTTCTTCCTGTTATACCATTAAAAGAGGACAGAGGGACCCTCCCTCTCACTTCACTCACTCAACATAGTGTGGTTAAAATCAAAAAAGACACTTCTTGTCTCATTCTACTTCAGTCAGTCACACTTTTCTCTACTCGCTACTTTTTATAGATCTTTTCATTTGTTTACCTGTAAATTTTATCAACCCATCGCTTAGTAGCAAATTAGAGTATTTTTTTTTTACACCTACTTTTTCTCAAATCATTCATCGCAAGCCATTTTGAATTTAACTAATTTTTGATGTGCCTGTAGAATAATTTTCCAGACCCTGCAATGATGTCGTAGTAAAAATAACCAGTAAAAAAAAGATCACTAGACAGATAAGTGTAATTTGCACCATAATATTTTGTTCAATACACTTTTATCGTTTAGGTTAGTTTTTGGGTCAGCTGCCAGGTTTAAGAGGATCTAACTTAAACACAGCAGCGACGGTCGTTGGCGGCGAATTTCAGGTACTTATCGTCTGACCTACACACGTGGCCGAATCTACATCCAGGGTGTATCCCGTACCGCATCCTGTAAACCGGACACACTGATAAGAGCCCACCGTGTTGTCACATCGCTGAGAATCGCCGCACCCGTGTACGTTCAATTGGCATTCGTTGATATCTGCAAAAACATGAATAATTCGCAGAAACTCATTGCTGCTAAACACGTGTTTCCTGTAGTGATAACCTACGCATAAATTCCATCTACTACGCTGTTGTAAACCCTCATTGGAATGTAATTATTTCGTCTAAAAAGCAGAACTTTTATTTTTGTGCAAAAATTACTAACACCACTAAACATTTTCGTTAAAACAAATTTTGTATTGTGCAAAAAACGATTGCCCTGCGACATATTATTATAAGCCTTATTGACGTTGAAAACTGATTTCCTAAATGTTTCCATAATTTAGATTGACCTTGTTATACAAGGCTCAGATATTAGTACATAATGTATAAAGCTTTCTGTCCAATATAACATAGTAAGCCACACTTTGCAATGTTTTTCGCCAATTGGATCAATAGTACCAAGTCAGATGGAATGGTATAAGGAACATTGGATCGTCGGAATTAATTAGCTTACAATTCAATATGAGAAACATTACCAAGCTTTCATTTGTTTACAATAATTACCGACCTGTGCAGGCGTTAGTGATTTTGTCCAATTGAAAGCCAGTCTTGCAGTGACACTTGTAACTGCCTATGGAGTTTTCGCACAGCTCGTTGGACTCGCAAGGCAGCTGAGTGCATTCATCCACGTCTATGTGGTGGACAAAGATAAGTACTATTGCACCGCACGGAGGCGTGCTTTGTATGCCTTAACTGTGACTGTTATTTACCTGCACACTTTTGGGTGAGCACGTCAAAAGCAAAGCCGGGATCGCAACTCTGCAACCGATTTCTTACGGTGGCGTTTCTCGGCGACAACGATAACGGCAAAGAAATGAGGCGAGGGAGGCATTGGAAACCGTTAAGGGTGTTCACGCACCTCTCGGTGGACGTGCAGCTATGAGTGCCGGCAATGCACGGATTTAGATCTAAAAGCATAGAAACTGGTTGGATTAGAGTTCAAGTAAGCGAGTTAAGGAGTAGTTAAACTTGACCCATCTAAGTCACTGGCGACTTGCCAAAATAATGCTCTGAGACTATAAGTGAAAACGTTGTCTGGTCTCCGAGTGTCATACTTACACCTAAACTACTTTCTAAATCCTTTAAACGTAGTAACTCGATCATATCTCAAGCCTATTTCCTAGGACTCCCAGTGTCTTCGCTCACAGTTTATCGCCACATCCTACAATTCCCCATTTGAGCTTACCTTTAACGCTAGACGTTCCCTTCGGCTGAGCAATTAAAGGGCTCGGCTTCAACTTGCTGCTGACAACTTGACAACACGACCCGTACAGCTCGTCCCATTGTGTGCCGGCAAACAAGTTAGTAAGCTTACAAGGAGGCGTTTCAATGGATCCGGCCATCATACCGATTTTGCACAACTCACAGCACATCTGTAAATATTTATTCGAACGAGATCTTTTGTAGCCTTTTCGGGTGAACGCGCTTAATACTATGCTGAGCTTACCATAAAGTCCACTTGACTTCTGCCCAATTCGGTTTTTTCGTTACACGATCCGTCGGCCAACGCTGCCTGTTTGCCTTCCAAGCACCGAGATTCCCTAAAAAAAAAAATATGAAAAAAACAGAACCTATTTGTAGATTAATAGCTAATTATACCTCAACGAGTGCATACAACATGCTCCGACCGTAGACAGACATATGGAATTGTGTTCGACGGGTACGCCGGGCAAGGGTAACTGTAAAGAGATGTTGCAGTACTTGTGTTCTGCGGTCCACGCCTTGCCTTTCTTACAGCAAGTGCTCAGAGTATTCTCCAGAGATCCTGCATTACAAAAAGACAGTTATAATTTATGTTTCAGGGACAGATAAACCGGTAAGAAGTAATTTGGCCACCATTTAAAAGCAAAAATGTTAAATCCTAAAAACCATTGTACACAAAACAATCAATTAATATTTATATTTTATTTTTTCCAATAACAATAATAATACACTTATTTATATAAAATAATTGTTTTACCTGTCTTATGGGATAAGCGTTAGGCTGGCAACCAGCTGTAAAACCCCTCCCAATCAAACCCTGCCAAATTTATACCGCCTGAGCCCCAATTGGAGAGATTAAAGATAATAAACAAGTTCAGTTTGCATGATATGTCGTGCTTGTGTCTAATTGGCAATATATTATAACATTATAACATGGTTCAGATTTATAAAGAAAAGATAATTTAATTATTTATAACTAAAATATTTTTTTAGTGTATATTTGTTATATATATATCATATAAAATATACCTACTTAAATTATTACTGATAGCCGTCAAGATTTAGAGTTAAAAATCTTTAAGTTCCTGTTCATTTTTAAATGCCTATATTTCATATTTCTATTATAACTAAAATGTATATTATTACTTAATTCAGATAGATAAATAAAGAGAGAATTAAAAAAATTAAACCTTTTGTAAGTCTTGGTTAACTTAAAACGTCATGTTTATTTAAGTTTTCAATGTTTAGTTAGCTTTTTAAGTTTTGACTTAATTCCATAATAAACGACTAATTAATGATTTATTGGACAAAAAAAAAACAGAGATAATACTTTAGATCTTGTAGTGTTAATTACTTTAAGTCACTTTTCAGTTAGGTAACTAACTAATTTTACTAAAAAAGGTGCTGTGTAATGACTTTCTTAATACAATTTTGTACAATTATGTATTAAGTTAATTATGCAAATAAAATAATTAGGGTTTTATAATTTCATAAAACTTATTTTTAGGTAATAGAAATGAAATATTTCAAAACGATGAAAAATAAAATTATTACTAATAAACATACATCTCAAGAAGAGATATATTAAAAAACTTGTTTTTTTATCTTTTAAATTAAAAATTGAAAAATAAAAAAATTAATAGGTAACAAAATTAAGTTCATAAACAAAAGTATATTTGAGTATTTTATTTAGTTGTTTATTTACTAATATATTTTTTGTATAAAAAAATATGTGTTCGTTCAATTCAGTTTACAATAATTATACAAGTCTGTCATTTATCAATGAAAAACAAATTTCGAAGTTTCATTAAAATATTTCACGGCTTGTGAAAATTGAAAAAATTCTAAAATTTAAGTTTTACATGGTCTAATATTTCACACAATAATGATTTAACTTAAGAACAATTAATTTTACTGCTCCGTCTAAGTTAACGCACAAACTTAAAAACATATTTTTATGAATCGTGTTAAATCAAATTATAACGATTTATTATTTTTCGATACTAGACTTTAATCATTGTTAAATTTTAAAAATGTATGAAAAATGTAATCACTTCAACACAGTTTAGTAATTATCTAAAGGATATATATATCTAATATGGATGGTATTGTTGTACGTTTGATTAATGATTCGCGTGGAATCAATGAAGGGTCTTTGCTCTAGACAACGACTTTAGGTAGGTATATTATTAATATTTTTAGATAAAACAATAATGTATACATATATATGAATTTATTGACATGTTTTACATTTACCTGGCGACGAGGAATGCGATCCGACGAACAACGAAACCAAAGCGATCACGGTAAGTGAAGGTTTCATTTTTTTTTTCCAACCGATCACTTAAGATTATTTAAAAGACAATATCAGACAACAAAAGTTATGACAAATTTAACGTGTCGAATAATAAACGGATAATTATTCATAGTTTTTTTTTTTAAAAAATGTCGATTCTTGTTCGACCCGTTGTCAATGTTTAACTGGCGGCAACAGAGATGATAATGTCAAATGAAAAATAATAATATAATACATAAATATTGGTATACGTTAAAAAAAATTATCTATAATAGTTTGTCACGTATAACAATAACGATGTTTAATAAAAAAAAGTAATGTCGCTATTGACCCACAATTCGGATGTGTGTGTTCTAAATTGATAAAAAGACAAAGTTGCAAGGTCAGCCGATTAGTTGTTTAGTATTCATAAAATTCAATTATTCATGAACGGATGTAAACACTACGGACACGAAGAGGGCCTATCGGGTCCGTCGTCTATCATTATTCACTTTATTGGAAATAAACTGTCTGGTAAAAAAAAAAACAATACAGATAAAGAATGATTAAACCCATCTCGTTTCCCACGGATAACGTCTTAATAAAACATAGAATCGCGTGTGTTTTAACAAGATATTATATTGACTTGGGACAACACCACAAAGCATTGAAAGTAAAAATAATTACATTGATTTAGTTTAAATTAAGAAAAATTACAATTGAAATGTTCGAATCTTAAAAACTACAATGCTAAATTAAGTATAAAAAATATTTATTGGAAAATAACTGTTCACAACATTTTCCAGACATACAACATTCTATTAGGCCACAAATAACACTATAACAATATAACCTAATAACAGTAAAGATAATAATATACAATATAAAACGTTCAGGTACGATTAGACAGTTGAGCCTGTTGCATTAAGTACCTTTTGATCAACTCTTTGATGAGTTTTTGATATTCCATATCGCTTTTATGGCGTTCCTCTTGTACGTCTACGGTTTTCGGCCGTTTTTCAAACTTCTTGCACAGCCTAAACGGCAGCCAACCGATTAGGAATCCGAGGAAAGTGAACGACAACAGGTTGAACGGAGACGGCAGTTTGTCCATCAACATATAGTTAACGTACACTTCGGTGCGGCCGAACAGCCATTCGTAGTCCGCGTTGTCGACCACTCGCTGGAACGTATCCGACATGGCGGCAATGAGCATGTTCAGCATGACAATCACCATTAGCACTTCGAACAATGCGAACAACATGTACCCTACAAACTGTGTGAAGTAATGATGCTGCACGTCGATGTTACCGTCGTTGCCGATGACCACGTTGGGCGCCTCCAGGGGGGTCATGCAGAATATTCCCCAGAACAACGTCTTGAACGTGTCCGGTATCGAAATGAACGAGTCTTCCTGCGTGGTCACCTGCTCGGATTCCGGATCCTTCTGCGACATGCCCGCGTAGTAGCTGTAGAACGTGCCCAGTCCGCTGGTGAACGCCATCATTATGATCACCAGGAACGTCATAAACTTGGCGAAGTCGTTGAGCACTTTACCCAAAGACACTTGCATCGGGCCAATATAGTAGTTCAGCTGGCACAGGAACAACAGTCGCACGAACGACATGACCGTGGCAAACGCGAACAACGCTTCTCCCAGCAGCTGCGGGTCTGCCCAGTGCCAGTACTTGCGGTCCAAATCGGGATCCGCCCATTTCGCCTGGATCGCGGCCATCACCCAGCACGTCATCGACAAAGCGAACAACAAAAGTTTGACGGTGTCGTAAATGTTCCACAAGTTCTTGAAGTACCTGTCGGGCCCTTGTAAGTTTCTCAGCCTTAAGTTCTCGAGGATGTAGCCGAGCACGAACAAAAAGATGATCAGCTCCGCGCCGGATTCCGGGGCGCCCCGTCGCATTTCGAATTTGTCCATGTTGGACTGGTAGAACAACAACATCAGGAACACGGTGTACATAATCAAGCTATCGAACATCCGGTCAATAGGCAACCGGCAACTGCGATCGGTACTTTTGGACAGCAGCCCGAACACGACGGTCAGCGGCATTTTCATGAGTCGCCATAAAGGATACGCGCATTTGATTACCGACGAATGTGCTTTCCATTCTATCCAATCGCCGATCCACGCCGACTCCAACACTTGCTGGATGTTGGTATGGGCGACGAACTCTTTTTGCTTGTAGTCCATGGCCGTGATGAGCCTGGGATAGATGAACGTGCCTTTGAATTTGCAACCTTCGGGATTTTTCAAAATGATCTTTACCTCGTCTGAGGTTCGACAGTTAACTATCATTTCTACCGCAAACTGTCTTACCTGCGAAAAATCACGTTCTAATATAATCGGTTGCAATTCGATTGCCATGGAATTCTTCTAGAACACTTCAGCTGTTCAACGGAATCCCATAGAAATAAGATCGTGATTAAACTAGAATGAAGAATAAAAAAAAAATGCCGGTAGAAAATTGACAAGGTGGGTTTGTGTGTGGGGGAGCTCTTCAATAATCTCAGACGTCTTCACCTAATGAAGGTGTTGGCTGCGGCTACCTGGTCTAGGTGTACTTTGCGGGACCCGTTAGTCGAGTGAAGCACAAATCATGTAGGATTACCTTGCGATTACCTTGTAGGCCATTTCCGTGTACACCGTCTTGTACACTTGTTCCACAGCACCGCATTCTAGGAGCTCATCGTGTAACTGAAAACACGCGAGGATCGGGTCGTGCGACGTGCAACACAAGTAAGCCGGATTGCTAATAGCCCTAAACAAATTCAACCGCTCGCAGCCATTGGCCACCACGTCTGCGCTCTCCAGCATTGGCAGGCACCGGACTGTGCACATGCATCTGGGGGGGTGCGGCCGCTCTAGTCGATGGCCAGAGGCCAACAGGTATTCGATGATCTCGTACCGACCACACTGTGCAGCCAGCAACAGGGGTGTCATGAAAGAAGGGTACTCTTCGGAATCGTCTGGATCACTTTGTTCTGCCTTCTGTTGCTCTTTCGTGCCGAATAGAGTCTCTTCGTAGTCGAACAAGTGCTTCAACATGGCCAGGTTGTCGTGAGCGATCGCGAATAATTTAGAATCTCCGACTTTTATACCTGGAGGCCGAAGATTTTCAGTTAAATCGATATAATACTCGAAGTAAACGAAAAAGCTCATGCAACTCGGACGTGTCTAATCTCAAAGTGACTTTTATAATTAAGTATGATTTCCAAAAAAAAATGTGTAATTAGACAAAATATCAATCGACAATGGTCGACTAGACATTCTCACCTTGCTGCCTTAGAAACAAATCTACCAGAGGGTAGCAATCGTTTCGTATTGCCAGATGTAACGGTGTTAGGCCTTGGAAATCTTTCATATTTATGTCTACTTTATTTTCTGATAGGAAGTCTTCTGCGGCCGACAAATCGCATCGTTCTACAATATCGAAAAATTGCTCGGCTTTGTCCGACAATTCTTCAATCAACGAATGTCGCCGGCTAGCCATTCTAACTTTCGACTTCTGAGGAAAAAAAAAAGAGTTAGATACATATAACAAACTAATTCTACTTGAGAATTCAAAAGCAATTCGTTAAACATGTATTTTATATGTGTGTTATTTAATCTAAACATAATAATCAACAAGGGGTGAGTTCAGCGCATATAACTTTCAAAGCGAACAAATATAACAAAATATCGATAACAGCAAACAACAACTTACTTTTGTATATTTTTCTTTTTTGTTCATGATGAAAAAATACTCTTTTGCCAAAACTAACTGTAAATGTTATCAGGAAAGACGTTTAAGATAAACCAGATGGATCTTTTGCCAAAAGATATTTAGGTTATTAAAAAACCTACGAAAAATGTAAACTGTTATAAAATGTTGCTTTATAGTGTTTACGATGGAATACAATAAACAAAACAATAATATATCTTGTAAAAAAAATGAGCTGAAAAACTGTGTAGAGCTTGGAAAAATACAAACGGTCGACAAGGCAATAGTACATAAAATGTTAAATTTAATTTTACCTAGCTACAAAAAGCTGTTTTACATTAGGTTATGTTGACAATTCGGATAATTGAAGCTACATTGGCAGATGAGTCAATGTATATTATGTATGTAAATATGTAAGAGTATCCTTGTATATTCAAAAAAATATACTTATTTTTATTTTTTTGTCACTTGTAGGTACTCAAGTATTTTCTTTCAACACCTAACCTAACCGGAATTATACAGCAGTTTTGTTGATCCGTTTAAATCCTGGTCGTTGGAGCTTATAAACTTTACAATCGACTAATTCCATTTGTTCGCTATTTAAAGTGAATATTTCCCTAGATAATTTTAACTAACTAGATAGGTCTGTATCTCATGGCGCATGAGTTTTGTATTGTACGAATATTTGGGTGTGGTATGTTGGCTACCATGTCAAAATTATATTTTTTAAGTTTGTAGTCAAAAATGGCTATCTATTGTACAAACACTATTCAGTTTGCACTTTGCATCAAAAGCCAAATGGTTATAAACATCGTATATCTCAAAATATTTGTCGCCAACAAAAATGTCTATCCCGAGAAACTTTTTGTTTCTCAACAGAAACTTTTTGGTTTTTAATTCTGGAATAATGACATAAAAATTTAATAAAATCAATTCGGTGAAAGTATGAAATAAATGTATTCAAACGTTGAAAATGCTCTCCTGAACATTCAATGAAAGTCTACGATTTCCAGCCTGTTTTCAGGTGTTCAACCCAAGTTAGTCTTACGGAGTTTTCGAAATAATTATTACAACAGCTTATATAAAGCCAAAAAACATGTTATATTATTTTTTTGTTTAAAAAGCTGTTCGCAAACATACGCATATGCACACTACAACACATGTGTGCGGTCAAGTGTTAAAAAACGAAGAACATGATGACGTCGCGGGTGTTGAGCAACATGTTCAACAGCACTAGGTAGATAGGCACGAAAACGTAAAACAAGCACGTCAGGTAGAGCGCGCACAGGACCATGGTGAACATCATCACTTGGCTAATGCGGGCCGCCTTGCTGTCCCGGGTGGTCATGGCGTCCACGTAGCCGGTCAGCGCGTACTGGACGATCCACAGGGTCATGTCCAGCGGGACGGTCAGTAGCGTGAACAGCGAGTAGACCACCATGAGGACGCCGCACGATTCTTCCAACATGAGCGCGGCCACGCCGAAAAAGTTCTTGCCGGCGTCATCGCTGATCTTGGACCGGATCTTGTCCTGGTAGTTTTGCGGTAGCCGCCGCATCCAGTTCATAATGGCGACTGCTCTGAAAAATCCCTGATTCGGCAGCAAAGGCGTGGACTGTGGTTTGCCTCGAATGGCGAACAAAAAAAAGAGAGAGAGCGGAGGTAAACCTTATTTGTCCGGTAGCCGTTGCTAGCCATAAACGCAATAGGCCAACAAACATACTTAGTAGTTCATTACCTATATACACAGATATAAATATATTATAATAAACTATATAGATTGCTAAATAGTGATAAGAATGAGAGTCGACGTCGGCCATTTTTGTGGGATTTATGTGTGTATAAAATAATATAAATCTGTGATTCTGTGCTATCAACCTAAGTTTTAATTGTTAAAAGCACGATTCACGAACTAAGACAGTGAATCTTAGTTCGTGGTTATAAGCATTGATAATAGTTATAAGCAATATGTGATAAGGATTTCCACAAAGATGACGGAAAATGGTAACTTCAATATTATCTCTATTGGCGGCATGTACACTTAGCAATCTAGTTTATTATACATATATATGTGCTTATATAGTATATCAATACAATCTACATATTAATATTATACAATGGAGTTTAATAATTAAATGACGTTTTAGAAATTGGTTAGGTTGATCTATAATAATTCATAAAGAATTAAGAATGTAGAAACAAATAAAAATGTAATTATGGGTTTTAATTTATTTTTTTCCATGAGACATTTAAAATCCCGGATGTGACGTTCCCTCCATAAAGTCATGCTTAATAAAATACACCAAATTACATTGACTTAACTATTAGGATTTTGTCAATATGTACACGTATAAAATCAATTGTTTCTGAAAAAGGTAATAAAACTTTTTCCCCTCCAAAAGTGTTTTATCTTCTTCTGATTCAATTTAAGAACTTCAAGTGTAATATAGTTTAGAAGTAAAACAATTGTAAATCCTTTAAGCCAATTCCTTAGGAACGCGTTTGTTTGTCGAAAACACTGAACTTTTTTTATTTAGTTTTCTCGCCTCCACTGCCGTTTTTATAATAATAACATTATAAAGTAAATTTAAGAAGAAGTTGCAACATAGAAAAGTCGAATTTCGTACTGTAAGCACTTTTTATATCCATTAAGTTAAACTTATTTATTGCCTTCATAGGCTTAAAAAAAATACATGGGTAATCATTAATATAGAGGATGGGCAAAATAAGAACTATAGAATTGCCCTTTTCCTTAAAGGAGTAGTGTGAATTTTTTCCTGAAATAATAAGTGGTTAATTAATATTCTTAATATATTATCAATAAAAATTGAGTACTGGAGAGTCAAGAATATTTAATAAGTTCATTTTGATGAACTTGATAAACAAATAAATCAATTTAAACAAAATCAATACCCTTTCAGCTTTGCATCGAATCTTAAACATACAAATTCACAGTAAACTCAGTTTTTACTTATTCGCCATTTAATTTCACCAAAATAAAGTTAAAATATATTATAATCAACATTTAATTATCAAATAATTTGTTGACTGTACTATAGGCTTAATAGGTTCGTTTTTTTTGCTATAAATTAACTGTACTTACATAAATATTTTTAAATAATCTAATATATATACCTAAAATATAATCTTATAAGCCATTGAGTATGTACTGTATAATAATATATACTCAATGGTAATACCTAATACCCTTATTATAGTGTCAACAAAAAATAGTGTTTTTTCTAGACTTTTATTTAATGGAAAATCAGTGGAAAATGAATTTCAGTAATTTGTTATCGTATCTATAATCGTTTATGGACTAATCGCGTGCAAGCACAATACTTTATAATATTTTCATATGTTTTATATTTTCAATTTTAATAATTCGTCAAAGTCAAAAGTATCTGCAATGTTATATAGGTACAGAACATGTAGGTAGGAAAATAATGGTTGTTTTTAATTATTATCATTATATTATTACTAAACCACAACGGCAGCCCGTTTTTGAGTGATAATATTGATGAAAACTTTTGGCTAGGGTTAGGGGTTACGACCCCGAGTGTATTAAAATATTATCATATTGTTGTATGGCGAGGGTTAAGCCTACAGGGGATAAAATACAATATAAATAAGGGTGTGTGACTGACGGGAAAAGGATATAATATATGAATATTATAGGTGTTGTATAAAATGTACACACACAAAATATGTATAGATTATGTATTTGTATATACCTAAACAGTAATATGTAAAGGAATATAATTATATGAGGTAAGTTATTAAGTACCTATACTTGTATGACAACGCGAAGGAAAATCAATATGCGTAGGTATTATTGTTATACATACTACTCGGATTTCCATTGAGGTACTTAGGTAACTAAAATAATAATAACATGACGTATACTTTAGGGCATTTATCAAATTGAAAGAAGAGACACTGAAATTATTAGGTACTGCTCGAAGGTCATACGACCACCACGGCATTGTTACCCAAAAGCCGAATCGTTCGATTAAAATATGGACAACGGGAACGGATTTAATGATTTTCTACCCTAAACCAAAAATAAAAATAATAACAAATTGGATTGAGCGTTATTCGAATAATTGTTCGTTTAAGAGGGTCGGAGTACAACTAGTTTTCATGCGTTTTAGACCAATAAGCGGTGCTAAATTAGATATACGTTTCAATGTTGGTTTTTAATTTTTTTAAATATGTATTCATTTGTTGACAAATTTTCTAGGTTTTCACGAAGGCAATTTTCAATTTTCTTTTTCGAAGACCTCCAAAATGATGATGTTATTTTTGAAAATTTAGTGATAATACCAAATTTTAAATCAAAAATCGGCTTCCTAAAAAACCTAGACAATTTGTCAACAAATCCATACATACTTTAAAAATTAAAATCCAACATTGGGAAATGGGATGTATGTCTAATTTAGCAGTTTGATTTGTTTTAACCGTATTTGTTATTTATTTTGATTTTGCCCAAAACAGTTTTGGCATAACTCTGTCTCATTATAAACAAATTAATATTTCCTACCGCCCTTGGCAAGAGTCCGCATAAATCCGCCGTTGAATAATTTCACCTACACCTTGGTACTTTGGTTAAAATATATAATAGGTATTACCTATAGACTATAAGTATAATCGTATACTTATATATGATTAAATAATTTGTTACCTTGGATAATATTATACCTACGCTGAAGCAATATAGAATAGGACAATAAAAAATATGTTGCATTGTAATGAATAATAAAAAAATATTGTCAGCTCAGAACTCATCCCCGTCGCCGCTGACGACGGCATTAGTTATTGGCTGCCCGCCGTCGTTTCGATTGTTGCGTTGGACGGCAATCGTTGGTTGCGTTCAGTAATCGATTTTTTACAAGAATTTTTTATTTCGTCAGTCGTCACAGTATACATTTTAATAAAATTAATTTGTTGAATGCGTTTTCAAATTTTGTTCACGTATAATGTACGGCACTCGGCGTAGTTTGTTTCGACGTAGTTAGGATATTATTTTTCCTGGAGGTAGGAGTGGTTTGAAATATCGATTTGTTTTTTCACTATCGTTTCGATTGTGCGCGCTCCGTGTGAGTGCACGTACCTATCGGCCAACACCCCCTGGCAAGTGGCAATGGCATTAGCCGTTTACCGTTGCCGTTAGACCGTCGCCGTCGTTAGTGCCATTATGATTGTCACGGCTGCTACCGCACATTATTCGCTGCCGGACCAGCTCGCTGTTCTGTCGTAACTTAATCACGTACGACGAGGCCTGGTTTCGTCCGCAGTCCGCACTGTCGCACATACACAAACAGCAGGTACACCTTTATTTGGCCAGTGTACTTAACATTAATTTATAATACCAATAGCTACCTATATGATATTGTCTTACCCAAATTTGTATTCGAACCGAAGAAACGTCCTCACTTGTCTAAACTACCACGACATAGTTTGGAGCTCAGCTTGTCGCTGAAGTGACCCGCCAGCAAGTAGTACGGCATGACATAGTAAACTAATTGTTACACGACCCCTTTGCCATCGTACAAACGCCGCACACAACAAGACTGGTAAGCTAAGATGATATTGTATTTTCGGCAACGTTAACTGGACATATGTTAATGTGTCCACTGTTGATGTATGTACGACTGATCAACATAACTTTTGATGTTTTCCAGTTTTTTTTTTTGGATTTATTTTTCGATAACTCCCGTTCCTAAAGTTTATGGAATTTGTTAAGTCCTCAGTGTAAAGACATGGCTCGAGAACCCGTAGTAGTCCACGTTTACGACATGGTATGCATAATAATTTACAATTAAATAATAATACTCATAGTTTGACAACGTTCTGTGTGCATGCAGGGTCTTAGTTTAGTACATTCCCACTACGTATCTACTTAGAATTTGATACAATTAAAACATGCACATTTTAATATATTGGTAATAGCAGTTTTTGTTGTTTCAGTATTGGATCAATGAATACACAACACCAATGGGACTTGGTGTTTATCATTCAGGAGTCGAAGTATACGGACAAGGTACTCGAGTAACCTAATTTGTATTTATAGTTTAGATATATAGTCCGTTCATCAAGAGAATATGATTGTGCAGAAACAAAAACGCATTACTTCTGTCTGTGCAGGCACATACAATTAAAGTACTTGATGCACTTTTGTTTTTGTGAAATCATATTCTCTCAAAACAAGAGTATAGATTAGTTGATGTTCAATTTTTTTCTTTTAGAATATGGATACGGAGGCCACGATAGATCAGATTCTGGTATTTTTGATATGATTCCAAAAGATGTTTACGAATTAGGCGATCATTACAGATACAGGTAGAGTGGTTTTTGATTTTAAATATTAAATTGTTAATTATTATTAAATAAGCATATTTTAAGGCTGTGAATTATTTACCAAAAATTGTCCGGTCATTTTTATGCTATATTTTATTTGTTTTAAATGTTGCTTTTATCATAATTGTTCCGTATTCGTGTATAAAATATTAGAAAATATAAATTATAAAAATTCTTGCTGACATTTTTTTTATATAAAATATTTGCCAACTGTGTTTAGAGAATCAGTTTACGTTGGTCACACAGACTTCAATCCAGCTGATGTAAAAAGGATATTGACAGAGCTTGGCAAAGAATTCCGTGGAGATCGTTATCATTTAATGACTAAAAATTGCAATCACTTTTCTGGTGAACTGACTAAAGTAAGTCCTTCTTTGTTACAATGTATCAAGAGTATTTCTTATTTTTTGTTTATCTGGCAGGCTCATAGGTTTCTAATATCTTTGTTCACTTCTAGCTAATCGTTTTAATCTACTCCTTTTATTATATTTATTTATACTAATGAAGAGTTACTGAGATTTATAAAGGAATCAGGACTATTCAACTTAGAAGGTTATTAACTAAGCAGGACATGGGCATGACAAACTATGTGAAACAGGACTTTGATGAGAGGGTGTGCACAATGGACCTGTAGGTCTAAGTGCATGGGCCCATTCTGGGCCCACCCGTTAACTAACTAAAACTAAAACTATACTAATGAAACTATTTGTCATGTTTAACATTTTTCTTTTTAAAAGTATAATGATTTTATTTAAAACCTCCAAATAATATATTATTTTAGTTGGTTTAACTTTAAAATGTTGGTTTACTTAAAATGTTATCACTGTGTTTGTTTGGTTGTCTAGATAGATGGTAGACTGATTAAAATTTGCTGGTGATGCGAGTTTCATTTTAATGGCGGTTTTTGCTCGCGATATTTGAATAAAAATATCTGAAATATACACAGTTTACAAAGTGGACTTAACTTGACATGTGTTAAAAATTGTAGCTCTCAAGCTATAATTGTAAAAGTTATGACTGTTTACACTGTAATCAATCAAACTTTTAGGCACTGATAAGAGATTTTTTTTTGACCAAAAGTCTAAATAGTATTGAAATTTTAAAAACAAAATTATCGAGAAAGCTGAGGCAAAATTTTTTTTTTTTTAATGGTCTACCTAATATTAATTGTCACGAATGTTAATAATTATGATAAAAAAAAAAGTTATACCTAATCAAATACATATTACACTGACCTTATAGATAATTTTTAAAATATGGCTGTCTCTATCTATTGTAGGGTTAAGAGGGCGTCGCACCGCCCATTTTTAAGGAGTTAAATATAGACAATTTTTTACAATATCTTAAAGGTTAAACTGTGATGTGTAATTATTAGTTCAATAACTAGGACTCTATTTTGGTAGTTAGTTTATTTTTTGGACTATTACAGCATCCTTGAAAGCGATTAAAAAATGTTTTTTTATCTCTACATTTTTAAGCAGATAGAAAATAACTCGCTTAATTTTGGTTTTAGAGTAAAAGCACTGATTATTAAATTAAAAGAAAACAATATTCCGAAGGGCAAGACGGTGCGTTTTTATTCATTATTCCAAGTATAACTCTTAATACATAGTTTAGAAATAACGACTATTTTAACATTTTTAAATGGCGAAACTTTTCAAAAAATGAATTTTTTTTTTAAAAAACGCACCGTCTTGCCCTTCGGAATATTGTTCTCTTTTAATTTTATAATGGGTGCTTTTACTCTAAAACGAAAATTAAGCGAGTTATTTTCAGTTGGCGTAAACATGTTTTTACCACTGAAAATCACAGGTGTAACGCCCTCTTAAGGTCCTCCTTTAGCAACACATAACATATTAGTTTATATTTGATAATAACTGATAATGAACATATAAATTATTTAATTAAGATATTTCCTCTCTTTCTTTAAATCGGAGATTAGTAAATGTTGCTGAAAAACAATAAATGCATTTATTAAGTCTTGTGCAGACTAATAATAGTATAAATGGTAGTCAATTATTTTTATTTTTATTAAGGGGCCTATTTATGAGATAACAATTTGATAGTGTCAATCAAGGCACATTTTCAAAGTTCTTACGATTTTTACAATAATATTAATAACGAAAATTAAAAATGTACTTGATTGATACATCAAACAAGTATTGAAAAATGTATATCTGTTTTGTCGGATAGTTTTGTTCCAAAGTACGGATAAAATAAAAATAGTACTTTCAACTATAACTATGCTAATGTATAGCTCAGATATTCCACATCTCTCATCAGTTAATTAGGTAATTGAAAACATTTTAGAAAGTTGTCTGCAATTCAAAGTTCTAATTTTTGTTTTGATTATCAAACAAATAGTGTTAATTCTTGTTACAGATTTCAAATGATGTGCATAAAATTCTACATAATATTACATACCAACTATTACCTATGTAATTTGTATTTTATATTCTTCAATTATTTTGTACAAAAATTCATAGGGCAGAAATATTGTATTTATAGAAACAATATAATACGTTAAATATTTTACAGACTAACTTTTCACTTTTTTAGATTTTGTGTGGACAAGAAATACCAAGTTGGATTAACAGACTCGCATACGTTAGCTCTTGTATTCCGTTTTTCCAACGTTGTCTTCCAAAGGAGTGGTTGACACCAATTTCTCTTCAAAGGAGTTTGTCTCGGAGGAAATCTGATGCTTCGACAGAACAACTCAACCCATAACATGTACATTAAATTTTAAGCCAATACAAAATACTTTGTGTGCCATTCACTATAAAGATCAGGCAAAACTTTTTGAACTACTACTACTATTATTATTATTATAACTATTATAAAAAATTGTTTTTAAAACATCCAATTTTTAGGATTATATTATTATATACACTCGTAGATACGAAATTAAGTATTATTATATGTTTTTATTTTCAATTTGTGTGTTGATACATAATTACCATGAACATCTTACTTTTATCCTTGTGTTCGTGTATTATTTCCATTACCATAAGTTAATTTTTGCATTAATGCAATATTACGTATGTTTGTGCTGTTATATTTTGAAACCCACAATATGCAAGCATGATATTTTATTGTTAAGAAGTATAAAAACAATACAAATTGTTGGTTAGTCCTGTAAAGACAACTGTTTTGACTTGATGTGTAACGTACTTAACAATATTAAAGAAAAAAATGTTTTTTTTATAGTAATTTAATGATAATTCTAACGAGAAACCTAAACCATTTAATACAATAAGGTACCCTACTTATATTACATAAAACTTGACACCAAGTAAGAATACATATTAATTCAAGTAATATCTAAGTAATAAAATACAAATAATACTATGTTTGGTCAAGTATATTATTAATACATTTTGTGTGGAGTTCATCAATTGTATTTGTTCTTAGTTTGATTTTGTTATACAGATTTTTTTAACTTCCATACAACTTTAGTAAGACATTCTTTAAACAAATAATATTGTATTATTTATAAATTGTTTAATGTATAAAAATTGCAAATATTACTAGCTTTATTATTAAACATGCGAGATCAGACTTGAATTTTGTCACAAATAACACTGTCAATGTTAAAGTTATAATTATTTAAAACTATTATACGACTTCAGTTTTAAGGATATAATTGTAATACAATATTTCATAAATTATATAAAAATATAATTTTGTCGAGGCTTTAAATATACTTACAATAAAAACGTATTTTATTATATTAATATTTATATAATATAAATGAGTGTTTTACGGATCAAAAAACAAAATTATCTTATCATATAATACTTAACTATAATATTACATCTGCAAGGTTGTGACAACAACTAAGCTACAGACAATTTTGATTATTTGAACAATATTATATATTTTGATCATCTCAGTGTTTTAAAATGATGGTTAAAAATGTACATAACTATACACATTATACAGACAACTGTATACAATTAAAACAGTCCCAGTTCATTTTGATGTGCATTAAGAATGCAAACTTGATACAATTGTTTTCTGTAAAATTAGTCATCATCATCATCAAGCATAAAGGGTCTTAAAGGCCCAACGCTGCAATCATAAGCTGATGGTTTCTGTAAAATTAGTAATTAACAAATATTCCAAGATTTACTAGATAGAACTAAAAATGTTATGGCTTAATTATAATAAATGTATACAACATTTTTTATAAGACTGATTGTTTGTGAATATAGTTTTGGCTATTTAATAATTCCGTAAAGCGAAAATAGTTTTGTTTACGACTGTCTATTTTTACAGCTTATTTGTTCAGTTGGTTTTATATTGTAAATGGAATAGATAAACATTAGTTTTAAATTATGTATAATTATTACACATATTGATACAGATAATATTAACACTATACACTATATAATCATAAATCATATAATGCGCAAAGTTAATTAAGTTAAGTACTTAAGTGTGTTATTTAATATACAAACAAAACGGGCAGAAAACAAAAGAGCATGTTGCAGTTTTTCACTTTATTTTAACCAATATATTATCACTTACTGAACACATACAGGTACGACTTAATTTTAAGAATAAGCTTAATATTATACCTTAGATTAATTAGTGGTGATTAAAACTAACAAGAAACTATATTATAAGCACCACGTGAAATTATGCCAAATTAATAAAAATTATACACAAAGGTCAGAACTGTTGCTATCATAATATATAATTTATTTTTAAATACAACTTTTACAAACAAAATAACTGTCAACTTTTATTTTTCATCTTAAAATTAATATACTATACATTTTTTTTTCTAAAAAAAAATTATTTTTTATACTGCCAATAATTTATTAGTACTTATAAACAAAAAAAATTATTAAATAAATAAAATATTTTTAATTGAAAAAATTCAAAATATTCTGAAAATAATTTAGTCATTTTTTTTAGTTTAAAAAAAACATGTTTAAATAATGCTAAAAAATATTTTTAAAATACTTAAAAAATTATCAATATTCGTTTTTAATCATGTTTGAATATAAAAAACACATTCGTGTCGTATCAAAACGAATTTTATAACATAATGGACATATTTAAAAAGTGACTTGCCTGTTTTTTCCCTGTACTCTGCACCCCTGTGCCTTCATTTATAGAAGGCACAGGACTCTTGTACAAGATCAATACCTTAGATTCGTGCCAAAAAAAATGGAAGCATTAAAAACTAAAAACACGGTGGAGTAAAATATAAATCGAGTTGTGGTGTCACATACCTACTTATAAGTCACGAGATTAACTATAGAACTTCAGGCCGTGCAATGAACTAAAAGTTAACACTTTATTTACCATCTGCGAGTTGTGGATAGGACCATATTAAGAGTTAATAGATATCTATTATAATATCATCGGTTAATGAGCTTCTCGTCGTGGCGTTTGTTTTTTTAAGCGCCATCGCAGAAATGCACAATACGACCACAGAATAGACTTAATTAGTCTATTCTGTGATACGACTTTTACTTATCATATTCGACGGGCGGTTTTTTATCAACGGCAAACGGTCGATTTGTTACAAAAATAATCCACGGTTTGCCGAACGGTAGCACCAGCAGCAGCAGCACCAGCAGCAGCTCAGCTGTCTTGTCACTCGAAGTAAGTACCATATAATATTTTGTTTTGTTTTTGTACCGTCGGCCGATTAGGCGGGTCCCCGCCGTCGATGATAATAACCGGTGGTGTTATTATACCTAGTGGTGGTGCACTCCGTTTCGACGATGGTATTATTATTATCATGAGTGTCCACTGTCGGCACGTGCGCCCGTACAATCATCGCATCCCTCGTGTTTAATCGTCTAGAACATGCCTGCCGCCGCCGTCGAGGATATCCAAGCACCTGAGCAGGAAACCTACGTGGGACCCGAGTGCGGCATCAAAGACGTGTGGGCGTACAATTTGGAGGAGGAGTTCGCGTGCATACGGAAAATATTGCCAAAATATTGCTATGTGGCCATGGACACCGAATTCCCCGGAGTGGTGGCCCGGCCCATCGGCGACTTCAAGACCACTTCCGATTACCTGTACCAGCTGTTGCGTTGTAACGTCGACCTGCTGAGAATCATCCAGTTGGGTCTTTCGTTTTTCGACGAACACGGCAAAACGCCCGACGGCTACTCGACGTGGCAGTTCAATTTCAAATTCAACTTGTCGGAAGACATGTACGCCCAAGACAGTATAGAGCTGCTGACGAAATCCAGGTAAACCGAGCTTTATCAGTTAATCGGTTTGTTAGTTAATACACATTTTACAACCCGTCGTTTACCAAACTGGTGCGAGTCAGTTTTACACAATTTCACACGACGGCTAAGTAAAAATAATATTTTGGCAAAGTACACGACTTTTGTTCACATCACTTTCAACATACATTGAGTATAGTATAGATGGACAACTCCTGTATGTGGATTTTAAACTTATTTTTTAGATTTCATAATCCAGCCTAACACGTTAACCTGGTATACCTGTTTGAAATCTATAAATGCGGGTTTATCTTATTGCCGGTTGTTGCAATAGAGTTGTCCATCATAGTATATATTATAATCTATGCCTTCCTTAATACATTTTTATTTAATTACATTTATGTTAAGTCTAGGGTTGTAAGCAGGTGGTAAGGAATTATTTTCAACGTTCCATTCCATTTGTGATATTTGTTAATTTTTATATAACAATATAAAAATGTGTACAAGATAATAAATCTAACCTAATAAAAGTAAACATATTTCAAACACATAGTAAACATATTTTTTGTTCAGAAATTTGCTTTTTTAATAAAGTTCACTGAGACCTTTATAACTCTATTGTCACATCAAATACCAAAAAGTTACAGTAATTTTAACAAAGCCGCACTTACACAATATAATTTTTAATGAAAGAAATTTCAGTCAATTTAAATTTTTTTTTCAAATACTCATTCTTATAATAAAAATGGTCATGACAAAAAAAAAATGTTTTGAAAAATTATAAAAGCTAACAGCCTTAGTTCCTCTTGGCACACTTGTTTATATTTATACAGAAATGTCTGAAATAATTGTGTCTTAACACTAATACAAATGTTGGACCTATATTTATACCTATATTTAAAACCGTTCATACATAGTAATTTTTGTATTGTACAGTTATTTCGTTTTTAAAAATGTGTGTTCTAAGGATCGCTGACAATAATGTAGAAGTAAATGCAGTTATCTGATACAAAACAACAAATGCGATAATTTAATTTTTGTTCCTATAATAGTTGTTATTGCAGACTACCAATAACTAATAATTTCCACTTTAAACAATAAATGTTAAGATAATATATATTGAATTCATTGCATTCATCGGTATATTGCATTAATTCAAAAGATAGACTTAGTTAAGTTTGTGAACAGTTAACTCTATATTAACTATCAAATAACTAAATGTATTTCTATAAAATCATTATGATTGCACTTTATGCAAACAACAATATTATATCATTAGTCTTGGTGGGATATTTTTCATTTATATCATTTTTGTTTCAGTATACAATTTCAAGAGCATCAAGAACATGGGATAGATCCTACAGACTTTGCCGAGTGTATAATCACGTCCGGTTTAGTGTTGATGGACAATATAAAATGGATGACGTTTCACAGCAGTTTTGACTTTGGATACCTGGTAAAAGTGTTGACGGACGAAAAACTACCTCAAGAGGAGTCAGAGTTTTTCGACATGTTTTCCTTATACTTTCCGTGTGTGTATGATATCAAATACTTGATGAAGAGCTGCAAAAACTTGAAGGGCGGCCTGCAAGAAGTAGCCGATCAACTAGAATTAAAACGGATTGGTCCACAGCATCAGGCTGGCAGTGATTCTCTGCTGACTGGCATGGCTTTTTTCAAAATAAGAGATATGTATTTTGAAGGAATGATAGATAGTAAAAAGTATTGTGGTCATTTGTATGGCTTAGGTATTACCACGTTGAACAACGGCCAAATACGGTATGAAGGGCCACTTTAAATTAACTTACCAAAAACAATACCACAAATTTGCCCTCTCAATTTATTTATTTTTATATGATTTTGTTCACCAATTGTGGATGAAATTGAAGAATTATAGAGATAAAATTAGTTTAGATTTATGTTAAGAACATTTAATTAAAAGAAATTGTCTACTTTAAATTGTTCGTGTAATTTTTTCACTATTTGTTTTCCCATTGACAATTTATAATAATATTTAGATTTATTAATATATTAAATTAAAAAATATAGCTATGTATATTTGAACATTCAGGACACTGCTTTTATCTATACATAACTTTGACAGTTTAACTAAAAGAGACCTTGTTAGCTATACAAATAAAATTAGATTTGTTTTTATATCCTACTATAATAGTAATAAAACAATGTTTTTTTTTTAAATTAATGTAAACTAAAAAATTGTATCAGGTCATTATGAAAAAGCACTGTAATTTCTCTTTAACAGAATCTAATTTCTTACAGAAAAAAATACCTAAATGTTTTATAATACAAACAAAGTTGTATTATTTGAACAAATGTTTTATCTTTTCAGTTTTTATGGACTTGAAGTTACATTGTCTCCTATTTGTTTAAAAAAAGTGTGCATTAAAGCCATCAGGTCCAGGCGCAGAGTTATTATTCAAATTATTTAAAATACATTACAGGCAAAAACAATAAAGAAATACATTTATATTTATTAAAAGTGATTGGGAAAAGCATTTATGTGTACATACCGGTGATACACCTTACGCAAGCATATTTTGTACAAAAAACTGTAGTCAAAAATCAAACTTAAATACTCATATGAAGAATTGTTTTAAAAAATGTAACAACTAAATAACTTTAATTAAATAACTTTTACATATATTTTTATTCACGTTTTATGCAACAAAAAATTTAATCAAAAATCAAATATAAACATACATGTAAAAAATGTTTGTTCCAAAAAATTTAATGTAATATAAATTAAACAACTTAATATTTTTTGGAATTTCATTTTTTTAATTTTATATATAAACGTTTATAATTTTTTATAAACCGTATTTTTTTTTTTAAAACTTGTTCTCTCTTGTGTTATGACCTATATGTACCAACAATAAAATAAGTATTTTTTTTTTTATTTCTTTTTAAGTTACTAATTTAGGAATGCTGGAATCGTACATTATTTAATTAGAACATTGTTATTTTTTAGAATATTGATAATAAAAATCCGAATGTCATAAGATTTGAATCTTAAAAGTTTTCTTTAACTTTCAAATGGGAATTTATCTTCTAAAAACTACAATATATAACAGTAGTGCTATAATTTTTTAATAAATAAAGTAATAAAAATAAGAAAATCGACTTTTCTAATAAACGTCTGAAAATAGGCAATAGCTAAGGTTAAATTACTATCTAGTACGGCTATCATGGGTGTGGACATCCTTTGGATATAATTAGTGAAACTCAAAAAAAATGGTCTCAAAGTTACGCGTTTAAGGAGCTATATCGAACCCTTGGTCCTCTCTTGGTTCCCCTCTCTAAGATTACGTCATTTTTTCAACGTTAAAACATACCTACTAGTTTTCAGTGGTATATTTTGTTTTTATTAAACATTTAAATTACTAAATTTTAATTTACTTAAATTAGATGAATAACACAAAACTACAAGCATGACATGTAGGTAATTAAATCTAGAAGATAGACCATTTTGCCAACTACATTAATTTAAAGTGGCGTTGATCCCGTATCACTCGACTCAACTCCGAGTAAATAATATATAATAAACAAACACCTGTAGATTATAATTCTATTTATTCACAAGCAGTATTCAGAGTCAGTGGAAGACAGAAAACACGGAAATAAATTAGAAATACAAAATGGTAGGTACTCACACGATGTAAAACCGTAAATCGCTATTCAGGGCTGCAACTTATAATGTATAATACATTAATTACAGGCATACAAAACTCGATTGTAACTTAATAACCAAACACGTCGCAATACATTAGGTATTTATCATAGAATTCAACCAAGTTATTATGATTAAAATCTAGAGATTCTCACGAATAGAACAATAATAATGAAATGAATAGCAACAATAATGAAAACAAATTGTTTCTATAACGCTAAATCTAATTTAACTGGTTATAATTCACAGAAAGGGGAAGTATAAAAAGAAACGTGAAAAATATAATAAATGTAATTATCTCATTTTTTTTTAAAAATATCAGATATTTTTTAATGTTATGAATATCTTTGAATATATTATTAAATATTTGTAGAAAATCTTTGAATATTGTAACGCAATAATAGTGACATGAAATTCTTAGTTTCCAGTCCAACAGCATTAATTAACTACAATTTTTCTATAATTGCAGTTAGCATACTACAAATCAAATAAATATTACAAGTGTGATCACAGGCCAAATAATAATAAAACTGATACTAATTAAAATAAGTTTATTTTTTCTCGTGGAAGGAGTTAAGTAAAAATATTCAAAATGGTCATACATATCGCGTATTAAAAAAGAAAAACACTTTTTTCAATATCCAAGGGGTAGAGGAAATGGGAAATCAATGTATTATTTTTTTCTCGTGGAAGGAATTAAGATCAAATGTTCAAAATGGTCATAAATATTATATTGTATATTACAATGTATACAATTGTTGACAACACCGTCCATACTGAGCGACAAGTAACAAATTTATTTCATGTCATGCCGCCCACCGTTGACGAGTATCCATAAACTTGTTAGTTGTTACCAGTTGGTGGGATACATGTTGACAGCACCGTTAGCAACATGCTGCCAACAAAATGTTGCCTGGTCTGTACCTACCTTAACGGATTGCACCACGCCGGTCACGTTCTGTTCGTATCGCGTTTGTCGGATAACTGATAAGAGAACGATTATAATAATTTTCGTTGTTATGGTTTTTTCATTAGTAAAGTGAGTAAAAACTAAAAACATATATTATAATTTCATTAAAAAAAAAAAAAAATGTTACCTCGAATACTAAGTCAGAATGCATTGAAACGAATGTTGATGGTCGACCGTCAGTTCGTGCGTTATGCAAGCGTGGTCCTGTGCAACAACGGTAGAGCGTGCCCACCACAATGCGGACATACTTCATTGACACAACCACCCGGAGCTGTATCCCGGGTATATATGCCGGTGCGTTATAGACGGTTTGACATTAAGCACGACGACAACGACAATGATGGTGTTGATGATGACGACAAGCAGAACGTCAGAGTCGTGGGCGAGGACGCAGCCAATCAGGATAGTACGTCGGTAGCTACTATTCAAGCGCCAGAAAACATTCCTTACTTGCCATTGGTGGCAATACCAAAGCCTCCGTTGTATCCTAGGCTCTTTAGAATTGTCGAGGTACACTATTAGACTGAGTCGAAACTAACAATAATATCGTTAACTATATTGTTCGTACTCATTTGCAGATAAGTAATCCAAAACTGATAGCATTGATTAAGAGGAAAAAAGCATTAAATCAACCTTTTATCGCTCTGTTTATGAGAAAAGACACAGTGTATGTGTTAAAAAAACTCTTTTTGTCATTAATATTTTTATTGTAAATGAATAAATATTATATTTATATTTTCAGGACCACCGCAAATGTTGTGAATAATATTGATGAAGTGTATGACATTGGATCTTTAGGAAGAATTAACGAAATGCGAGAATTTGGCGACAAATTGCACATGCTTATACAAAGTTTCAGAAGAATTAAATTGACCAAACCTTTTTTCGAAGACCAAGATATCGATAAAGGTAGTTAAACGCTGTAAAATTAATAGTTTGATGACACAAAAACTTAACACAATCTTATTAGTTACAGGTGATTTGAATAGACGTAGTAAAAAACAAGCTCGCCTTAAAGGTATAACTAACACACAAGAAGCTACAGAATCTAATCAAGAAACGGACAAAACTCAGCAAGAAGTGCTAATGGTCGAGATAGAAAATATTAAAGATAAACCCTATGAAACGACGTTGGAAGTTAAAGTATGTTATGTCTTGAAATTATCATTTTCAGTGTTTGTTAATTGAGTTTATTTTTATTACAAATTAATTTTGTTTTTAGGCACTTTCTCAAGAAATTATTAAAACCATTCAATCGATAATCAGTATAAATCCTATTTATAGGGAAATATTACATCCAATGTTACAACATGGCAATGTAGCCGATGATCCATCATACTTATCTGATGTTGCTGCTGCTATAACTGAATGTGAAACTACAGAATGTCAAGCAATTTTAGAAGAAACTGATGTACCTATCATTAGTTATTTCTTAATTTTTTTTTTTTTTTGTAGATGTATTTAATTAAATCAATTTTAAAGGTCCCTAAACGCCTTCGACTTTCATTGGGATGCCTGAAAAAACTTTTGGAACTCAGTGAAATTCAGGTCAAGATTAGTAAAGAAGTCGACGAGAAAGTAAAACAACAACATCGAAAATTTATACTTCAGGAACAACTTAAAGTTATAAAAAAAGAACTGGGCTTAGAAAAAGATGATAAAGACTCCGTTGTAGAAAAGTTCAGAGACCGAATTAAAGCAAGTTTATTATTGGAGTTATTTTTAACTGAAAATACTTTTATTAATAACTTTTATCTATTCTCCGTTCCAAAATACCTATTTTGCACACCACGACTGACGGCTGGCGGCCGCTGAAAGGCAAAGTTCTCCCACTCTTTGTTTAATTTTATTGTTTTTTATTGAAATTTGTTTTTTTCTATTTGGCATTTAAATTTAAAAGCTTTATTTCCATTTATTACAGTACAGATTATTTACAAATTATTACTTTTTAATTCAGTTTTTAAATTTAAATTATAATATTTTTTAGGATAAACAAGTACCACCAAAAGTTATGGAAGTAATTGAAGAAGAGTTGACTAAATTATCATTTTTAGAACATCACTCTTCTGAGTTCAAGTAAGTTATGAGCTAAAAATATTAATTTAAATTTGTATAAATATAGGGTTTGTATTATCTAGAAAAAACTTAAGCACTTATGGTTATATGTAATAAAATAATAATAAAAACCCTTAACCATAAAATATTCAGTCTGTCGTGAGCGCTGAAGATGACAACATTGTTGCCGAAATACGACGTATTCGCGGAGAGTATATAATTTTTATGGTTAAGGGTTTTTATTATGATTTTATTTGTATTATCTATTTATTGTAATTCATTTTTATCTAATTAAAAAAAAAAAAATGTTCTCATTAATAAATTTATATTAAATTGATTACTGAAGAGTTTGAATGTTTCTATAAAATCTTTTAAAAAGTATCAATAAATAAAAAAATAGTATATTGCTCATAACTACAGACTTAAAAGCACGAACAACCAACGTTCAAAATATTTCCATGATATAATTATTATTATCGAGTTTGACTTATAAAATATTTAATACATAATGTTGTGTATTGATAGCAAAATCACATTGTTATTTAATAACAATGTGCTAAAATAATTAATTTTTATTAAAGACATTTTGATATCAACTTTTAACTCAATTAGGTTACTCATCTTATCATTTTATAGAAAGTAACACTTAAGTGAAGGAGTGATTTATTTAAAAATAAACTTAAATAAAAGTAGCCAAAAAAAAAAAAGAAACTGCCTAATTCTGTAAAATTTAACAGTATGGTTTGAATTATTAGTGTCACGAGAAATTATCTAGACTGGCTCACACTACTACCATGGGGTTCTTCAAGTAATGAGAATTTTGATTTAGACCGTGCATCGAAAATTCTAGACGAAGATCACTACGGAATGGACGACATAAAAAAACGTATTCTCGAATTTATTGCTGTCAGTAAATTAAAAGGCACAACTCATGGGAAAATAATATGTTTCCACGGACCACCTGGTGTTGGCAAAACTAGTGTAGCAAGGTCAATTGCAAAAGCTCTAAATCGAGAAGTATGTTTTTTGTTTTTTAACTAAATTATATTTAATATAATTATTAACATTTATAATTTTTAGTATTTTAGATTTAGCGTTGGAGGTATGACTGATGTTGCCGAGATCAAAGGTCATCGTAGGACATACGTTGGTGCTATGCCGGGTAAAATGATACAATGTCTAAAAAAAACTTGTACAGAAAATCCCCTTGTGTTAATTGATGAAGTTGATAAAATTGGAAGGTAATAAATATAATACTGATTAGGATAGTAACTATAATAGTCTAATTGATATTTATAAAAGATTTGTAGATTTACGATTACAATATTTCCGATATTAAAAAACAATTGGGAAATCATAAAGTTAAAATAAAAAAAACCTTACATTTAGATTAGTTTGGGCTACAACAATGTTAATTAATGAGCAGTTAGGTTGTATACAGATTTGTCCACCCAGAGCTTATAAAAAGCTAACTTAAGACATTAGTTATATTGTCAGTTTTTCATTATTAAGCTATCATTTTTACGTTACTATTACTTAAAAAAATGTGATATTTTAACGTTTTTTCTAATAATCTATGTATTCTGAATTTAATAGTATTACGTGATACCACCATTATCTCTTACTCTTCTTATTTTTATTACATTAAAAAAAACATAAAGAAATTTTATTAAAGAGGTAAAAATTACGTCAACTAAGTAGTAAGTGGTCCTCCTTCACCGATCCTCCTTACCAAGTACTGCCATTTTCCAGGGTCCCTCCCACACTGCTTGGGGATCAAGAACAAATTACCATATTTGTTGCCCTGCAATTACTTACTGCAAGTACCTCAAAGGGAAACTTTATTTTTGCATCTAAGTTGAATTTAAATGTCATTTTGTAATTAATCTTTAAAGTTTAAATTAAATTTCGTTTAAAATTAAGATTTATTGTATGTAGCATTTAAAATGTTTTGTAATAACTTTACAGAGGGCATCAAGGTGATCCGTCGTCGGCATTGCTAGAAATGCTTGACCCAGAACAAAATGCCAACTTCTTAGATCACTATTTAGATGTGTCAGTGGACTTATCTAACGTGTTGTTTATTTGCACTGCTAATGTTATCAACACAATTCCAGAGCCTCTACGAGATCGAATGGAGATGATAGATGTGTCTGGTTATGTGGCCCAAGAAAAAATGGCCATTGCCAAACAGTATTTAATTCCTCAGGGACTAAAGGCTACTGGGTTGACTGATAATCAAGTAAAATGATTAAGAACTCACTGTAGCAAAGTATTTTTTTTTAATTTGTACATGTACTCTTGATAGATAGATATTGTCGATGAAAGTTTGTCAACACTTATCAAATTTTACTGCCGTGAGAGTGGTGTACGGAATCTCCAAAAACATATTGAAAAAGTATTGTTTTCGTTCAAGCTTTGTTCGATTTATATTTTGTTAAATGGTTTTATTCTAACAATGTTAATGATTTTCCTTTTTAGATACTACGAAAAGTAGCGCATAAAATCGTTAAAGGCGAAGAAGAAAAAGTGACAGTTTCCAAAGATAAATTATATGATTTTGTGGGTAATCCAGTGTTCACTAAAAACAGAATGTATGAAAATCCTGAACCCGGAGTGGTTATGGGTTTAGCTTGGACTGCCATGGGTAAGCACAGACTTTGGAACTACCTGTAGAAAGAAAAAAACGAAATTCATGTTTATCATTTTTTTGTTTTGTTATAGGAGGTACAATGATGTATATTGAAACGGAATGGACCAAAGATCCTAAAACCGTAACTGAAAAAAATAAATCGGTAGGTTCGATTATGCTTACTGGTCGTTTAGGAGAAACTATGCAAGAGTCTGCCAAAACAGCATACACTGTAGCAAAAAAAATACTAAATGATGTCGAACCAGAAAATGTAAACCTGTCGATTGGCAATGTGCATTTACATGTTCCTGAAGTAAGATGACCAGTCAATATCTAATAAACCAAAAATATAGCATTAAATAACTAATTTATTATTTATTTTAGGGTGCGACACCCAAAGATGGACCTAGTGCCGGCTGTACAATTGTTACAGCATTACTTTCGTTAGCATTGAACAAACCGGTTTTTAAAAATATAGCAATGACTGGTGAAATTTCGCTCAAAGGAAAAATAATGCCAGTTGGCGGAATCAAGGAAAAAACTATAGCCGTAAGTAATCTGAAAATATCATGTATCACCAAAAAATGACACCAAAATAACTTTATTATTGCTACAGCAACGTGTTTTACATATCATCGTTGCCGCGAAAAAACTTCCTTAGTTTTTTCTACACAATACTTACACTACCAGTTAATGTTTTTTTTTTTAATTTAAAAAATAGGTACACATAGTAACCTATTATCATAATTTAGTAACTTATTACTAGTGAAAAATTATTGCATCAATAAATGCAATCGATTGAGAATAATGTCGTTAGATTTTAGTACCAAAAATTATATTTTGAAAAAAAAGTCTAATAAGCTATTTTGCACTATCATCATCAATGTGCAAAAAAGTCTAATAAGCTATTTTGCACTATCAACATCAATGTGCATAATTAATTTAAAAATCAAAATAACTGTCCATATTTTGTTACTTAATATTGTGTTTATGTGTTATAGGCGAGAAGAGAAAATATTAACTGTTTGATACTTCCTGAAGAAAATAAAAAAGACTATGACGAACTACCAAAGTATATAACCGAAGGTCTAGAAGTACATTTCGTCTCCTATTATAAAGAAATCTATGATATAGTGTTTAAAAGTTAATAAAATTAAGTTCATATTGTTATATTAATCGTGTAGTTACTTTTATATTGTGTAAACTGATGTATTCTCTTACATCTGTAAACTTTTTTTTATGTGGAGAGTACTAAAGTACATAAATAATGTCTGTTATGGGCCGTATCTTTAATTTATTTTTATTATTTAAATTTTTTTAGTTTTTGGTAGATTCGTAGTACAAAACGGCCAACTATTTTTGACCTCAAAGAAATAAAACAACTTATTGTATAGTTATATTTTATGTTGTAAGAAAATGAAAATATGAGATCAGCCATTGTCACACATACAATATTGTTTTTGGAATATATTTTGTGTATGTGTAAATGTAATGAAGCTGCTGTTAATGTAATGTATTTATAATTTCCCAGATTGTCAACTGAAAAAAATGTGTGCATATTGCTTATCCAAAATGCAATAAAACTATAATATTTATGTGTTATGAACAACATTATAAAATATTTTAATTTTTTAATGGGTGCTTTTAGTCTAAAACCAAAATTAAACGAGTTATTTTCAGTTGGTGTAAACATGTTTTTACCACTGAAAATCACCGGTGCGACGCCCTCTTACGCAAAATGTGCTCTTTTGTTGGCATAGTTGTTTTGAGAAGAACGCCAAAAGATATGTAATGTTTTGTTATTTGCAAACTTCTAAGTGCAAAAACTTGGCCATTATTTTTATCTACAAGATCAAAAATCAATATTTAGAAAATGGCACTGACTTAAATTTGAAAAAGGTCGGCAGGAGGGTTATACTCTTACCAAACAAATATTACATTCAGCCATCACTCAAAAATTTCATGTTAAAATATATACAAAAAAAAAAGATGACATAAAAATCTGAGGCCCCAGAGACGTGCCCCCCCCCTTCCAGCCCTGCAATAACCACTTTTTTCAATCTATTATTTTTCAAGTTTGGAACAAGTGGTTAACAGGAAAAATGGTCTCTGGAAAATAATGTTGATTAGGAAAAGTGTACCATGGAATAACATGGTTTTTGGTAAAAGTGGTGTCATCACTGTAGATGTTAGAAACACAGAAAAGATAAAACTTGTTGTTAGAACAACAAGCACCGCAATAATGTGATAAGTAATAACTGATAACACGGTTTGTACTTTGTTGGACAACAATTATAATTTCCTGTTAAAAAATTAAAACATTGTCACACATTTTGTCTGACATTGTAAGTGATCTTTTTAGATGTACTAATTTTACTTGGCCCTACTTACTATGTAGTGTTTTCTGTCCTTAAATTCGTTTTTATCTCGTGTAAATTACTAGAATCTTTAAAGATATTTTGTTTCGTCGAACTATCCAAAGTAAGCAAACATCGTTCATGTGACAATTTTCGCGTTGTTCGTTTGTAACAGTTACAAGTCTATTAAGTGTAAACAATTTTTTTGTTATATTTTACAGTGGTTAGCTGTTTTATATGTGGAAGATCTCGAAATGAAAAGAGTAAAGAAGCTAAAATCACATTTCATAGGTGACCATTAATGTTATTTCCATATTTACTATTGCTATTCATATACTTGTCAAGGCGTCGTGAGGGTAACCGCGGCAGTGTTTCTACGCACTAGCTGTGTTTCAAATCTTGAACGCTGGCACCATACCCACTCCCTCAGATAATGATTTTATAAATAACTTTTTTTTTATGGCTACAGTCTTTCAATCATTTTTTAGTCTTTGGAAACTTAAATTTCAACATTTTAATTTTAAACCCTAAGTCAAAACTGGTTTGCGTTTAACACATCATGTTCTATTACAAGTAGAATAATTATAAATTATAAAATTATATTTATAAGAATACAATGAATTCAATTACTTACCTCTTCCTTCCTAACATTACAATTTGTGTACCTGTTATAAATAACTGTTAATTTTTTATGTTTATTCAAGATTTCCAATCAATGATACTCTGCGTCAAAAGTGGTACGAATTTGTCCTTAATAACTCATTAAATCCAGGGAAAATAAAAAAATATAGTTCAGTTTGTTCAACACACTTCCATCAAAAAGATATTATCAATTACAAACGCACAACCTATTTAACCGAAACAGCTGTTCCTATGATATATATATCACGTGTTAAAAACGTAAGTTTATATAATACTAAGTTATAACGTTTAGTTAATAATAATATAATTATGCACCATTTTTAATTTGTTAACTATTTTATAGGCCAAACTGAGTTATCCAGAATATTGGTCGAAAAATTCGCAACCATCCTTAACTACTCATATATCTGATGATCATGGAGTAATAATTGTTAAATAGACAACACTCTAATGATAAGTACTTAAAGTTTGTGTTGTTGCAGGCGTCAATTATAAAATCAGAACCTGATGATGAAGACAATGCTCAACCCATTAAGAGCGAACCAGTTTTTCATTCACCTGCTTTTGACGCTGATACAGTAACTGTAGTATTGATATTTGACTCTCGATATTTTTTTTTTAATAATTTTATGTGCTATAGGGAACAGTTATAAAATCAGAATACATTGATGAGAACACTGATGAATACCAAGAAAGCATTACTGATTCTTACCCATTACTAACTGGGGATGCGCCTAGTTTACCATTACATAACACTGAAAATATAATTAATGATCACTCCGCCGAAACAAAAATAAAAAATAAAGTATTGAATTATTAATGATTTTTATTTGTACATTTATGTTTGATTTTAATATTTTTTTGTCAAGGGCAAAGCGTTTATTCTTGTTTCGACTAAACCATCAGTGAAGGATTCACCAGACTGTTTATTTTTAAAAAGATATATAGCCAGTTTGAATACTGACTTAAGAGCTAAAACAACAAAGTTAAAAAATGCTCAACAAACCATTAGAAGACAACATACTAGGATTACATCACTGAAATCTACTATCGCCGAATTGAAACATATACTAAAAAGTATTAATTACTAACTTGCACTAAAATAAAACCGATCTTACTGTCACACTTAATTTTTCCAGATAAAACTGAATAAATATTTTACTTGATGAAAAAAAATTAAACTATAAAGGTTTATAACAATATCATGATGAATATTTGGTTTTTACATCTTGAGGAAAGTCCATACATTTTTGGAAAATTCTAAAGAAATGGATTTTTGATACAATTCTTGATTTGTGGTATTGTGGTACAATAGTCCAGACAAACTCTTTGCTGTGCACACTTACAAAGCATAAGATGGCCTCTTAATAAAATATCGGCTATGATCATTTATTTTATAAGCATCGTAAATTGACGAATAGGGTAATACAAAATAATACTAATATAGTTAAAGCATTGAGTATATGTATATTTATATAATTTTGTATATTTAATAAGTAAAGAGCAAAGTAACTAAGGTTGTTATTGTAATTGAATACTTAATAATGTAAATGTAATTTTTATATTATTTAAAAAAGCACCCAATTATCTGAAATTATATTTTTGCATTATTAATTTCTTTTTAAATAAATAAAAGTGTGTTGATAATTAAAATGTTTTAATGACTTAGAGGTAGATCATTAATTATGTTGTAATAATAATAATGGTTATTATTCATTAAATAAATGAGAAATGTTTTAAATAAGTGAAAAAAAAAGTTCATTTATAATAATACTAACTATTAATATTACGTGAAAACTGTTTTTAGTAAAGTAATTTATCTTTCAATACCAAAAAAAAAACACTGTTTTTTTATAACTATAAAAACCAACTATAATTGCCAACGACACTAAGCTATTAGATGTAATTGTCTAGTTCTTACTATGCATTATTGATTCAACAAAAAACCGTGTAAACCAACATTTTCTACAGACTGTAAAGCTCAAGTTTACATTATTGATAATTTTATATACATTTTTTTAAATATTTATTTTACAATCAAAGTTATAGTATATTTTTTTTAAAAATAGGTTAACAGTATAAAGAAAGGCCAAAAACAGCTCGTATATTTTCATTGAAAGTTTATGTATTTATTTATAAGTATTTACTATAATGGGTATATTGCATTATTTGTTTATGCTGTTTGTTAAAAGGACATTGATATTTCTTTTTAGTTGTTTAGAAATAAACTGCATACAGTTAATAATGTAATATATTATGTTATACATATTTTTTGAGTAAATTTCATATCACGCCACCAGCGACCATACATCTGCCTTAAGTCTAATTTTCAGAGCTTAAGTCTTAAAACTACATTTAAAAACACACAATAAAAGAAAAGTTTTTTGCCTTTCTGAAGGTCAATGATGATATCATTAACCTTAACTTAAAAAAAAAACGTTTTTTTTTTGTAAGATATTGGTTATGCTATATCTAAGGACTAAGACTTCAAAATATCGTATACGAGTAGCTAGATGGTAATTGGATTATTTAAAAAGTTAGAACGATTTCCCGAACCGAAATTTTAACATAACAAATGAGTACACTTTAAGTTGGTTTTTCTCAATAATGAAGAGAAAAGGGCGATTTTTTAAAATTTTTGGACTTTTTAAAGTATCCTTTATGTATGATTTCTGATCTTAGGACTTGTCATGAAGAAATCGGCCTAGTCTATAGTGGCTTAAGAGATATAGTAAGTCCAGACGCAAAAATAAAAAACACATCATTGAAAAACTAATTATTTTATGTCATATCAACATAAACTAAAATTAGTGTAAAATTAACCAGCAACGTTTAATTAAAGTTTTAGTATAAAACTAAGACGTTATTTTGTAAACTATTACATACATATTTGTAAGTGGACGAAAAACATTTAATTTGGCCACTTAGAAAATGAAAACCTTAGGATTAGGTATATACGATAGGTATAACTACTACGATACTTAATTTCACTCTCTAATCGTAATTAAATTATTATTTCCAAATTAAATAAAGGTAGCTACTTAAGAGTTCGTCAGTTATCTTAATTTATTTTCTCTGCTGCTCTTTTAAATACATAATACAGTTTCTATTTATAATACGTTAATCACATTGTAATAATTGATATAATTATTTGCTGTTGAGTTTAAGCCAGTGAAAGGCTGATTTTTTTTAGTAAAACGTTTTTCCTAAATAGTCTTAAGAGCTCATACCGTACCATAAGAACAACTATTGAAGGTACTTTCGTCGCACTCACTTGGTCTACAGCGAATGGCGTTTGTAGTTAATTCTGCCATAACATTTTAATGGGATGCGCACGTCGTCATGGTCATGGTTGACTATAATTTGTGCACTTTAATCATGATATGATTAAATTATTATGAGTTTCAGCTACATGTGAAATATGAATCGGATAATTAAAAATCCTGAAAACACTGATACTCATATATAGGTACACAGGTTCCTGAGGATATAATCATTATTAATTTAGTTGATAATACATTTTGTCTGTTAAAATAATATTCACTTGAATGCATCCCTAATAATGTCGTTAACAGATGTTAGAGTATTGTAGTTTTTTAGTTGTTTAGGTTGCCATTTATTAAAAATTATAATCCTGGAAATTACAAGTCAGATTAGGCACACCGGGACTTACTTTCACAAACCTGTACGTTTTGACCATAGATTGAAAACAGCGGTTGTGTTCCCGCGAAATCTGTACGAATAGCAAGCCTAGTTAGTGTACAACTAGAATCAAAAACGCTGAGTTGATAAATATACTTATTGCAACAAATTATAAATGGTTTCTGAAATCTAAATCCAATTTAGATATACACCTAATTATTTTTTTAAAAGTTACAGTCATTTAAAAAAATGTTAAAATAGTTGTTATTTCTAAACTATGTATTGAGCGTTATACTTGGAATAATGAAAAAAACGCACCGTCTTGTCCTCCGGAATATTGTTTTCTTTTAATTTAATAATGGGTGCATTTACTCTAAAACCAAAATTAAGTGAGTTATTTTCAGTCTGCTTAAACATGTAGAGATGAAAAATCATTTTTAAATCGCTTTTTAGGATGCTGTGATAGTCCAAAAAAAAAAATTAACTACCAAAATAGAGTCCTAGTTATTGAACTAATAATTACACATCACAGTTTAACCTTTAAATTAAGATTTTGTAAAAAATTGCCTATACTTCACTCTTTAAAAATAGGCGGTGCGACGCCCTCTTACATGATTGTACATAGTGTAAATAATTTCATAATGTTGTATGCAAGTATCTCGAAGTGAGACTAGATACAACCAGTGGGGGCATAAATAACTAAAAAGAAAAATTGCAGCAAAAAGATGCTTTGGAATGCTGAGATCACTCTTCAAGACAAAACCTTATTTAAAAAAATCAAAAAATAACAATGTATAATGTTCTTACTAGACCAATTGCATTATATGACTGTGAGACGTGGTCGTCAACAAAAACCGATGAAAAAAAGTTAGCGATACTGGAGAGGAAAATATTAAGACAAATGTTTGGCCTCAAAAGATTATGAAAACTATAGGCAACGAATACGATGACCGTGACAAACAAAATCATAGATAAAATCAACCGGATATAATAGCAATAATGAAGAGCATAAGGATTGCATTCCTTACGATGCATCGGCAGAACATATGTCTGGCGCGCAGAAGGGAATTGTCAAATAAAATAACTTCATGTATATAGGAGTAGAGATGACAAGAGACAAAAAACGATAGGAAAACGTGGTAGTTGCAGCTAGGGCCTACATGGCCTATATTAAGCAAAACAAAAAATAAATATTGTATGCATTGTTGCTGTTTATTGTAGACAATATGTTTGCACTGTGATCGAAGCCGCTGAAACTAACTAATGACTAATCGACTTTTTGTAGTAAGACCCGTTTAAAATAAGCTGTGAGTGTTAGTTAGCTATGGCGTCCTCCGGTAGAGCGCAGTGTTTAAAACACTGCGAGTACTTGGTCAACATTAACGAAGTTATTGATTTATCAAACCCACGCCCACGCCCAAGTCATTTATATGAGCCAAGTCGACACTGCATCCGTGCAAGTACCAACCCAGGCCGCCCTGCCCTCGGTTCACTGTTAAACCCGCCTAAGTTAAAACTTCTATTTGTCATCTAGGAAAATATACATTCACCGTTATACTGGTAATTATTTTACAATCGACCACCGTGTGCAAAGTAAGTGAATTTAAATATTGTTCTAGCACAATTCAACTCGGCTGCTTAGTTAATTAAAATTTAAATATATTATTTTGCTCGATTTTAATTGCTTTACGACTTGCAGTGGTCCTTTGTTATATCTGTGGAAGACCCGAGAACGTTAAGAGCAGAAAAGAAAACATCTCATTTCATAGGTAAACCCATCTAATAATTCAATTATTATATTTTGGTTATACTAATAAAAGAGTAAATTAGGTATTTCCGTTCAATGAGCGAAACAAATAGACTCGTTTTTAATTGTTTAATATTCAGGAGAATTGGTTATAATTGATAAATCTGTTGTACTTGCTATAAATACATCGTATACTTATATTATAAAAATATATAACTATAAATTAAACAATTATATTTTATGTATATTCAAGATTTCCCGCCAATAAGCCTATTTTCAAAAAGTGGTTGGAATTTGTAATTGAACACTCATTGGATGCAAGTAAAGTGACAAAAACCGACACTCTTTGTTCAGCACACTTTAATAAAGAATACATTTTTTCCTATCGTCGACAAAGATTTTTATGCAAAGCCGCTGTTCCTACATTATCTATACCACATTACAGTGTAAGTTTTTAATCATTTAATGTATCAATGGATAACAATAAGATTTTTTTGTTGGGCGGTCATAACGGTTTATTCCCTATTACATTTTGGCTAAAATTAAATTTGACATACCTACTTGACTATTCACTATATTATAATCATATGATGGGGTGTATCATAAAAGTCAGCTCCGTGTTATTGAGATCTTGTAGAGTAAAGACAGTAAACATTTTTGAAACATTTTTTTGCGATTATTTTTAATCCCTAAACTTTAGGTGTTTACATAATTAGATACTCGTTAAATAATTATCAAAACAAAAAAAACCATACCAAACATTTCTTGTAAAATTCTCATATTATTTTTAACTCTTGAAATTTAGAAGTTTACACAATTCCTCATTAAATTAACTATCAAAATTAAAAAAAAACATACCACAAGATTTCTTGAAATATTCTTATTAAAATTAAAGAGTCATGTAATTTTTACAACAATTATACCATTAGGTGAATAATGGTGATAACTGTCATAATAATAATTTAATTAAATACAGTCAATGTATAATAATAAATAATTATTTTCCCCCTTTTTTTTTGATGTTTTATTAATAAAAAAATAAGTTTGACTTTAAATATTTAAGATAATTTTAGATGTTAGGTACACTCCCGCACTAGATCTGTACTCGGTCTAATTTGTTGACTTAAGTAATAAGTAAGAACAATACACATTTTCTTTAGTACGACTTTTGATCTTTAGACTTGCTACATGAAGAAATCGACTTAACGATTTCTAATTCGCCGGGAAGTTCTTACACTATGAAGTAATATGTTACATAATTTTTACCAGTTATCACCATGTGACTTCAATCTGAATGAGAATATTGCAATAAATTTCATTGCACTACACAACGGAATTTAAAAAATTCAAGTTCTTTCAGCTCCTAGTAAAAATAAGTCTCAATTACCAAACTTTTACCAGATGTTCTATATACATATAAGTAAGTGCTGTACAAATTTAGTTCAAGCCCTAAAAAGTTATAGGCTTTTAAAAATAGCACTTTTTAGTAAAACTCAAAACTTTGAAGCTACATAATATATATTATAAAAAAAAATTGTCTAAAATAAATTATGAATCAAAAGAGTATAGTTTGAAGAGTCTTGAACTTAGTCTTGAACTTCAGGTGTACAACAAATTTACGATAACAATTTCTTTACTTTTTCGATTTTATGGAACTATCTGCATACTGCATAAGATATGGGATCGAGGCATTAAACAAATTTACTCGCACACACATCAGGTGATTTGGCATAGAGCGACCTATAGATTTAAAAAAATGTCTAACGTGTATGATAAATATAGTTTTGAATTATTATCAATACATACCTAATATATTATAATGTTTTACAGACCATAATTAAATACACAAGTGAAGAATCAACAGATTTATCTCTATCTGGCGATTACAATACTTCTCAAAACAATAAAGTATTGTTTACCCTTGCATACACTACCTTCACATCAGTCTTAAATTGGTCTTTTTAAAATCATTACAGGCGATATCTGTTGTACAGCCAAATTATATACATACTCGTGCCAAACCCCAAAATACCATTACCAATGTGTATCCGGCTACTCCTCGTATCGAAACAGTAATTATTATTAAATTTTAGCTTTGTTTTGCGTGTACCTTACACCGTGTTTCTTTGATACAGGTGACACTTCAAAATTCAGAGTCGGGTGATAAAGTCAAGTACGAAGAAATGTCTAACTCTTCTCAACCGATTACTACTGAATCTGAAACAGTAATTTTTTTTTGTATTTAGTTTATTGCGCATAGTTTAATCAGAATTTGATTTGGTATATAGGTCATAATTATAAATTCAGACTCTGAAGATGATTCTAGACTCCAAGTGAACAATATTTATTCGCATCCTCTAGTAACTGAAAGTACTTCCGAAGTGGTATCTTCACTAAATACTGGACATTTTTTCAATAGCACTTCGTTTCGGACTTCCACATCGTTCAACACAACCGATAATGATGTAATTTTTACGAATTAATTACTTTTGTTTGTTTAAAATGTAATTTTAAAATTTGTGTTTTTTTTTTGTCAAAGCCCAAGAAAGGAGTACTTGTTTTTTCAGTTATACCTATGCCTGGCAATACATCTAATGAAATAGCTTTCAAAAAAAGTATTTCGCGTATGACTACTGAATTATTAGATAAAACAAAACGGTTAAGAAACGCTCAGCAAACCATTAGAAGGCAACGGAAGAGAATTAAATTATTGCAATCGATTATCGATACGTTGAAACGTCCAAATTCAATTGGCGAATCAGATAATGAAGCAGAAAACTTTTTTACTTAATTTCAAAATTAACCTATATATACATACCCATAAAATTAACCTATGCATACATATATACATGTATTTTTGATATAGCATTTAAAATATTTAAAATTAGTTTGTCAAACCAATTTACAAACTTTGCATATGACTTAACTTTTATGGTGCGGTGTAAAATACTTTAATTTTAACTTATTGATAGTGTTTAGCTAGTTTTTCGATAGCGATTCATATATTGTAGTAGATTTTGTGTGTATTTAGTTTTTGAAAATATGTTTAAACTTGAGAACATATACATTCTAATACAACAATTTTTTATAGTAAAATTATTAATTGTTATTAGAATATATTATCTTTTCTTAGTCCTTTAGAGCTAGTTAGACTTTAGACTTTGTACACCAATCATACACCAACAAGTTGTAGTTAAACTAAATAAATCATATATTACAATTTAAAGCCTTGAATTTTATTTTATGTTTTAGTTAGGTTTGCTTAATGGAAAATATGGGAGTTATTTTATGGTAAAGTAAAAAAATTGTATGGATGATTGGAAAATAAATATAGGTAAAAATCATGACTTTATTATTAATACTATGCTAGCTAATGATTGTTAAACAAATTGTGCTAATAATATTGGTATGTAATAGGTATACAAAAAACTTGAGTGCAATATTCAAATTATAAAATAAAATAATTATAAATAAACAACATACATAAAAAATTATTTTACTTAGCTCTTTTATAGTTGTAATCAAAACCATATCGAAAAAACTTACTTAAGATGGTTAAATTTATGATAATATATGCGATAAAATAAAAACTAATTCTATCTAAAATATGATTTTACACGCTAAATAAAAATGTATTTTAAATAATTCATCAGGCATTGGCTAATTAATAATTTGTGTATATTGTAGTTAGTACTAAACTTCTACAAGAAAGTCGTTTGGCATTCGCATTACCAAATCCAAAAGTAGAGAGAAAATTGTATTTTTTTGGTCCGGTATGTTTAACTATATAGAACAGTACAGTTTACATATTATCATAAACTAGAATTCGAGAAACTTTTAGGAGCGTGAATTATAAAAAAATAACATACCTCACAAAATAACTGCTTTTCAAAAAACTTGCTGCTGATATTTCAAACCGAGTATTTTAAAATATGAACACACATAAATTGAAGTAGCATTATATATTGATTATAAGTAGGTGTCCACCATTTACTTGCCAGGGAGTTACAACTTGCGAAATGCTGATGAGAAGTTTCTTAAAAACAAAATTATCTGTATGAATGTATCAGATAATTACAGAATAAACTAAAATCAAAGTTACATAATGAGAGTAAAAAACAGGAGAGAATAGAAAAAAAAAGTATAAAAAGTAGTTTGGAAAGAAAGAAAATTAAAGAAACCCTTAACCCTTTCATATAGATGCGAGTACACAACATAGTTTTGGGTAAAAAATTACTGTTTTAAAAGTAATTGAAGGGCACAGGGGAAAAACAGAAGTAGTCACATTATGAAAAGTTTTTTTTTCAAATAGTTTTTTTAAATTTATGCCATTTTTTTTTAATTTATGTCAATAGATTGTTTAAATAATTACATTTTTTTATTAGAATAGCATTTAATGTGATTTTTTTTTGTTCTTATGTAAAAGGGAGAAGAATTCACGAACTTTGTTTTTGCTATACTCTAAAATTTTCATAATGTGACTACTACCGTTTTTCCCCTGTGCCCTTCAATTATTATGTGGAAAGTGAGTATAGAAATAGGCGATAGCCGCTAAGATTTAATGACGATTACTCTACAACATTTGAAGATTAATTATTTCTGGAAAAGTTAATCCCTAAAAATAGTAACTCAATAACAACAAAAAATTATGGGTCCATGATGTTTTTAAAATTTCTATACAAATAACATTATCGCATCATAGGTATAATGTCAGTGTTGACATTAGGTTAAGGTTTATTAGGATACATGTATACATTTTGTGCTCCTTCAGTGGTGCTTATGTAGTGGTTAGGTTTGTTTGCTGTAGCGGGCGAGGCGCATTCGGTCTATTCAAACGGAGGATTGATGACAGGTGGTTATTTCTCTTAAACCGTACATATATTTTACTCACGGTATAATTATACTTAATGACGAAACATATTTCACAAAATAATTATATACACTGGACTGTTGTGTATTAACATTGAGATGACGTTGACGGTAAACACAGGAAGCATAATGTAGGTATATTATTTTCAAATACTGTATATTATAACATATTAGTACCATAATGTATACTAGATAGATATTTTATTTCTACCGTCACGCAAACTACCTAATCTAATTGGTGATCAATTAAAAAAAAAATTAGGGTTTATTGAATAAAATTACCTGAACTGTACAAATATAATTAAGAGTTATAATTTTCTTAAGTTAACTTCCCCTACGGAATCCGAACATCCGGCAGGACAATATTATATTATATCTAGTTGGGATTATATTTTTAACATTTTAAAACTGTTTTTTGAATTTTGTTTGAAAATACTAACCTCTCCCCTTTCATAAGTTCAAACTAATATAATTTAAATAGTAAATTTAATCAAATAAATTATGGCAATTTTAAATATGTCGTTTAGCATTTTATACACTTCTCACTTGAACGCATTTCTTAAACAGTGTCCATGTCTTTGGTGTTTTAATTTCTTTCTTTTTCTCTTAGGGTCTTTGGTGAATAAGTGGAGATATAAGTATCAATACAAATTTGATTACAATCCAGAGTTGGAAAGTAATTGTCAGCTTTCAGAATCTTTTTTTAAATTAAAAAAATATTTATATGTTTTGAAGTTATGACGGTTTTAACGAAAAATGTAATTTTTATAACGTTTTTATTACGTGTTAATCCAATAGGGAAAATATGGCTCTGTAGGAACCGCTTAGAATGGTCTTAAAAGGCTGACATTTTTTAACATTTCTTCTCTTTGACGGATAAAAACGATTCAGGTACTCCTGACTGAATTGCAAATCATTTTTTTTTTTAGTCAGAGTAATATATATCTTTGAGATTGGACCTGGTTAATATCCGACCTTGTTTTTTACCCAGAGCGGAGTTTGTGACGCCTCCAAATGAAGCGAATCGACGATTTAACCTTTTGTAATAGCAGTGGTGGTAATAAACTTGGTTGTGTTGCAATGCAAGAATTTTGCTCTTGTCCTCTGACCTGTCGAATGGGGTGGGGGAGGGCGTGGTAGGTGGATTTCGGTCGGTATTATTGTGATACAGAGATAATTCGCACGGCCTCTAGAGTATCTGTGTGTGTGTACTGATGGGATTTCGAAAACAGCGCGGGGTTAATACCTATATAGTATGTTTTACACAATATATTATTGTATAGACAGCAGTCGATGGACTCTGACGGGAAGACAATACGAGCGAGAACAATTATTAGCCACAACCCTCGGGTCTATGCGATATAGCATTGTATGTGTACCGGTGCTGGTGTAGGTAGGTAGGTACAATATTATGCGTGTATCTATTCATTTTCGTCATGCATACCAATATACATACATAATATAACATTGGTTCGATATTCTTATTAGAGATGTAGACACGCTGTTGCTGCTGCTTCTGATGTCAGTACACATAGGCATAGGCCTATCTACACTCGGCGGTACCATCAGAAAACCCAAAGAGAGCATTGACCACGCCGCTGTATTGTGTGTGCGGGTAAGTATAATAATAATATGTACATATACCTGTATAATGTAGATTATGTGTACGCACGGGTACACGACACTGTTGTTACTGTGCAGTGGTAGGTACGGCGGTCGTTCAGCGACTTCTTGTAATAGTAAATTGCCGCCGCCGCCGCCACCACATTGCTCTCTCCCCGCCAAGAGGTAAGAAAAGAAAAAAAATACTATACACAGACACTATGTAATAACATCATAATATACCCAACACGACCGACCGGCCGGCAGTAACCATACCGTCGACCTTCCTGCCGCACTGTCCGCGTTTGTTCTTGTGCTTGTGGATTGATAAAAGGTTTACAATATCGTGTACGACCTTTTCGGAAAACCCCACTCGAAGCACGTTGGTTAGGAGGTATACGGATTTTCGATTTTGAGTGCGCCCAAATCTTACTTCGAAAAATAATTCATATAAAGCCAGCTCAAAAGTCATGTTGGCCAACCTTTGAAAAACCATCGACTGAGATCGCCTTAGAATTGTTGTTGCTGTACCCGAACGACCAGAGATCCGCCGAGTTTGTTGCAAGTTCAAAAAATGAAACCCAAAAATCTCGGATTTCTGTAAACGTGAGTAGTTAACAAATTATTGTATATATATATTGGCTCCAGTGGCGTTAATTAAAACTTTTCAACTGAACTATATCTTTTTTATAACTTCTTAGAACCTCGATTATCATACCTTAAAAGCCAACTAATTAATAATTTTTATTTAAACAAATTGTATAAAATAAAAATGAGGGTTCAACTGAGGGCTCATTTTAAATCGAGTTACTTCATTATGTCGATATTAACATTGAACTTAAGCAATTTAACTAAAAACTTACTTAATTGTTGCAAAATTAATTTTTTTTAAATTAGCTCAAGAGACTTGGATAAATTTAAATTTGTTTTCACAGAAATAACAGAAAAGTTGTATATATATTTTTTTTAATTTTGAAAACGATTAATTTAAATTATAGATAGGTTAATGATTTTATTAAAAAACAAAAGAGCTTACAGTCAAGAGTTTACAATCAACATACCGGAATCTTTATAATATAGTATAATTTAATTATAAGATGTCAACACATTTTTCTTAATTTAACGGTTTATTTAAAATTTAACCAACCGTCGAGCGCAGTTTACTATTTTTACGACTGGGTAATTATCATTTATTATATATTGTCAGTTGTAGAATTATTATAGTTTTTAACCGGGTCTTAGAAATGAAACCGATTGGGATTCATCTCGCCAATGCTTACGATTCAAGTAGCTTTGGTCTTTTATGTATATGAAAAAAATCTACTCTAAAACATTTTTATTTGCCACAAAATCAACACGACCTATCCAAACAATATAGCCGTTGCCCGTTAGTGCGTTAAAGACTACGACAAAACAATTTAGTTAGTGTGAACCTTATAAGAAACGGTTTTAAATGGTATGTTATTAATTCGTTCCGTTTGTAACCGTTAATTAATATCACACACACACGCGTAAATTAAACTATATAGTCAATGTATGTAAATCATTCTTGCCAGATCAATTATCGGATAACCCGAATTTGTTGTTGCTGTTGAAATAATCGTTTATTATAATTTATAGTACCCCTAAAAGGGTACGATATGGTTTGGGAAATGTTTTGTATGCTATTATAAAATAACAATAAGGCGATACATTATACTGCGTTGAAAAATATGTTTTTTTTGGACAGCGCTTATCCGCCGTTGGTATATCTATATTACATTATAATATGTATTTACTTATGTATAATATGTAGAAAAAGTAAAAAAACTAACAAGTGTCGTAAATAAACAATAAGAGAGAAAAAATAGTAATGTAAAGAATTTTGAGTCTCCAAATTCTTTAAACAAACTAACAGAGTCTAACAAACTCTGTCAACATTTCTTTAGATACCACTCTATCTACTATATGATATACACATAGGTATAGCTTCCTGCTTCATACATTTTTATACAACTTCCATTCACTTAACTTTTGGCTTCATATATTTCTGAATGTCTCTAATCTCTCCAAAACGTTTTACTGTTTCATTTCTTTCAATACCTCCAAATCATATGAATACATTATTCCTCGTTTTCCTTGTCAAATCTCGATTCTCCTTTTCCATTTTGTCACAAATTATACCTGTCGCCCTTCTCCGTCTCATTTAACTGTCATCTCCCGTAACTGATCTCAAATGCTCACATTTTTCTACTCTAATAACCACCCGCTTTTTAAGCCTAACCCGGTCTTCCAATTTGCAAAGATTTCATCATCTGCAACTAATGTACGTACATAAATACCAAACATTAAGATAATGCAACGTATTAACGATTTATTATTATTTTTATTGTTATTATGATTTCAAATTTTATGGAAATTAAGTTAACAACACAATGTATAAGCAATTCGAACTTATTAATAAGTTAAGCAGTTAAAACGAAATTAAATCTGTTAATTAAATTTATACTATGTGTTTGGTGTATTATTAACATTTTTTAGCTTATTAAAATAGATCATTTAAAACATATTTTAAAAATAAATAATGAAACTTGGAGCTAAAAACTTCGTTTTTATGGTTTGTGGTCACTAAGATGTTGTGAACATCACATTCGTAGCTTCTATGCCATAATTAATAATGATAAATTTGTTTATTTATTATAACTTTGTGGACTGATGGGGTTTATTTGAGGGTCTGTCTGTATGTAGTCTGTTATGACAAAAAAACTATATGTATAAGAGAGTCGACTGAGACTTCCCCTCTGTAGTAAGTACTACTTCTATTGACATACTGTTACGGCGTCTTATAGTCTTATGCGAGTACTGGATGAGCTAGGTTAGGTTGGTTAGCGGTTTCTACCGTTTTCGTTCCGATAAGGCAATTAAAACACTAAACGGCATATTACAGTATTATGTAAGGAAACGTAACTTGTTGCGGTTTTACTATTAACATACATACGGCATACCTAAGTACAGCGAGAAGATCATGGGCGGTAATGCGTTACCGTTTGTCCTGAAAAAGGAAACGACTGTGACGTGTGACTGACAACCGATCATTGTCTAATACTAACATAGTTACTGAGACGTCTGGTGTCCATGCCAAAATGCTTTTAATGTCTCTGTTATTTCCTTGCGACCCTCTCCAACATATTTGTTTTATTCCTTTACATTATCAGAACTTAAGTATAAGCGTTTCGATCATATTTCAAAAGTTTGCATATGAAGTCTACCACGAGTGTCTCCCTCTGTGTCTTAGCTGGGTTTAAAAATAGTTCAAATTCATATTAAGTTTTACACTATTTCAAGTTTTTCTTATAATGTTATTTTTGTACATGTTCTTATATTTAGTCTAGGCTTTATTTATAAAATTAGAGTCGAGTATTAGATGTAGAGAAAGACGAAACAAATGAATGGCAGTTGTATAGGTTAAGGAAAAAAAGATAAATGTGGTAGTTTTTTATCAAATTTTTAACGGTGTACAGCGGGTGTTAAACATTATATTTTGAAATTTTTATGTCTGCTTTGACACACACACGGAAAATCGACCCCGGTTATCATAACGAAAAAACCGATACCGACACCGGTTATCATAACGAAAAAATCAACTGATTTATCTGATAAGATAAGAGAGATAAGACCCTACCTAGGTGTATAGGTTAAACTATCTTAGTAGGCGCGTGCACATACCCATACGAACACCCACACATATTTTAGTCGGTAGTCACAACATAATTAATATTAAATTAACGGGTTTCCGTACATAATATTAGCTCTTATTGTTATTCAGCGTTCTCACGACCTTCTGGCTTCTAACACCTATTACGCCTATTATTATTCAAGCTGGTAGAGCAAAAGGCCGGTGCCCAGCATAATATATTTTAGACCGGGCAAAGAACCGTTGGCCAGAGTACCAGAGTACTGTTAACAAAAACGCCTTAATTAATTGATATAATTAAAGAATCGCTCTATTTACACCAAAGAAACCCAATGCTTAAGCAGACATGCGTGTTTTACACGAAGCTACCGGAAACACACAAACGATTAGCGTACAGGTCATCCGTTCTACCAAAACAAAGTAGCACTTAGCAGCTGTTTACATATATTATGTTATATTGTGTTTATATCAGTATAGGTAAGCCATTTTTTTAAATTTTCAAACGGTTTTGGAGAGACCAAACCGTTGGCCGGTGAATTAAACGAGTGAAACAGGCCTACAAAGAATTCGCTGGACCTGTGTCGCCAGCCGACATGATTAGGTCGTGCCGATTCTGTTGTACTTAACAAAAAAAAATAGTTCAGCTACTATTCCCACTAGTAAAAATATTTTACATTTTCGCAATGCAATCCCCATCGACTTGATGTTCCAGTGCGACGAGATCACACTACCTGCACTCAAACACTGTATAGGTACCCAAACCTGTTTCGATGCTATTATTATTATTATCGTTATTGCTACTACACCCGTTGTCTGGAAGTGTCGGCGGGTCGTTTAATATGATTTGGTTTATCGTCTAAACCTCCTAAATCGCTCGCGGCTCGACCTCGGTATGTTCATCGACCTTCGGTCTTCTTCAGTAGAGAACGAAAACTCGTGACTTAATGTACAGTACAGATATTGCTAAAACATGGCCCATACAATGACGAAGCAAGGAATCAGTCTAGAAGATAGTGTGGAGGAGCTAAAAACACACATTTCAAACCGAACGCAGTAAAATATTAGTAATGTACACTCTAATCACTGGTTTGGAGGTTTGGTTTTCCTTAAAACCCTAACAATGCCTATGCCACTGATGTGGTGGAGTGTTAATACACAGAAAATAAATTCTCAAAATAATATAAACATAGTCTTCCGTCTTTATTAAGTTTATTGAAAATATTTAGTGCTTAAATGGACAGTATAGTCAATATAATATGTTGATCTCTTAGTGTTAAACATTGCGATTAATTATCGATTTTCGTACAGCTTTGCAAAATACAATTTTTTGTTATGAAATATCACATTATCTAGCATTCACTTCTAGCTATAGGCTAGTTGCTAAAATATATTATTGTAGAAACGTTACACAGTACAATACAGTATACCATAAAAAAATAATACAAAAATATTCTTCAGAGCATTGCAGATTTCAAAATATTTGAAGTCGTACTTTGTTCGGCTTGCAAGTTTTTTCAAAGATTATGTTGTTTGTAAATACTGCCATATCATAGTCTAATATATAAAATTATAATAATTAAACACAAAAGCGCACTGTGGTATAAAAATGCAAGGTGTATTCTAGGATTATGTGCGGGTTGTACAGCGCGCAACGGGTAGAGTTTCAAAGGAAATAAATGACGTATTTTGTGCACGAGACTACTCGGTTAAAACCACAGTGTTGGTGGAGAGCTAATATCGAGTGAAAAAAAAATACCTATGTAAATACAATAGATCTTTCTTATCGTTTGCCGCGGTCGCCACCGTTTCTTCGGTTCACTGGTTAATTACAATGCACTTCAGAAATCAGACGCATACCGCGATTGTTTGTTCTGGTACTTTAGTGCCCGTTTCGCAGAGTTTATAGTACATTATTGTGTTAACAAAGTATACA